AACTCTTTGGAATAGAGTGCGGACACATCTACGTTTGTGAGACAGAGGATGGTTGCTGTTGAAGTGTAGGATCCGTCTCGTGTTGGTGGATTTTCTGAATACTGTGGTTTGCAGTTCTCCAGTTGTACACCGGCGCATAAGTACGTCAAGGAAGGGGAGTTGGTTGTTTTTTCCTGCTTCCATTGTGAATTTAATATCCGGGTTAACCGATTTCAGCAGTTCCTTTGGGTACTCAGCGTCAGTTGTTTTGACAGCGACAGTGGCATCGTCATAGCGGGTCCTGAACTTTGGTTGATACTTGGCGAACACCAAGTCTTTTATCCGTTGAGGAACTACTTCAGCGATTAGGCCTGATAGAGGGGAGCCCAAAGGAGTGTCTTTTATTTGCTCGTAAATCTGTCCACCAAAAGTGAAATAGATCTTGTGGCAGTATTACAGAAGCTCGAGCAGATGTTCAGACTTTAATGGCTTGTCCCTCTACTCATAACGTTCTGCCAGTAGTCGGTCCACAACGTCTAGCGGTAGTTACTGTGCAATAGAGGTGAAGAGCAAAACGACATCAAAGGATACCATGGATTTGTCTGGCTCTGACTTCAGATGTTTTATGCATTCGAGGAATTGATCCGCAGATGTCACTTATGTTGATGATCCTTCGGCCAAAAACTTAAAACGATCGAACATCCATTTTGTCAAACCGTACGTCGGGGTGCCACGTACGGATAGGATTGGCCTAGGTGGGACATTTGCCTTGTGTACCTTCGTTAGACCATGAATACGGGCCGTTACGGTGTCAGTGGGTTTCATGGAGAACCCATCGTTGGGCGTAATCGCCCATTGACCCTGCCATTTCTTAGGCTTTTATTAATCCGGACAATTAGATTTTCCATTTCGCTGACACGATATTGTTTGTAGGAATGCCAGTCTTCGAGTAAGCCAAGGTTCTTGTTCTGGTAACCCGATTTGTACGGAACAACTGTTAAACGCCCGTTGTCAGCTGGCAAAATGATCCTGTCCTTGTTTGCTTTTAGGCATTAAAGTGCTCGCCGTTACGCACCGCTAAGAGTTCCGCACCTCTAGAGTTGCATAAGAAACGAGCAGGTTTATCGACGGATCAAAGCGGGAGAAACAGACGTCAGGCTCACAGACGACGGCAAAATGAGCGGCAACCCGAAGTCTGGAGGGCAATTCCATACCTAAAAGGGGTCTCTGGAGTGGTCTCGACTATTACAACCAACCAGGGTAGGCATAGCCTATCGACCCCAGGCAACAATTCGACGTCGCCTGATGCAACTCAAGGACCCATTGCCACCCGCTGAAACCTCAGCAGTCATCTACAAAATACATTGCAATGAAGGCGACTGCAACTACGAGGAAGAAACCGGGTGAAATTGCAGATACGCCTACAAGAGCACAAATCGGCCACTCGGAGGTTAGATCCTAAATCTCAACTAGCAACACACGTTGCAGAAACTGGGCATACCTCCGATCTCCAGCGAGCTATCATCTTAGGCCGGGACAACACAAAAACAGAACGTTTAACTCTCGAGGCTTGTTCGTCCGATGCCCACTCCATTAAAAGGCATCTAGACCTTCCTGCAGGTTACAAAGTCCTACGTCATCACAATCGTAGAGCTCAGGGCCAAACAACGACACCGGACTAAAGAAGGTCATACGGTGATAGCCCGACGGCGAGCTCAATCGGTCAGAACAAACAAGAACCGCCAGACCGACCACTCGACAAATGTGCAATCATCTCCCTTGCCCCCGACGGAGTGGTGACTCACATAGCACACCAAATAAATGGAAGAGAGCTCATCTTTATGCATGTTTTCTACAAAATATGATTAGATATTAGGGGCCATCGAAGATTGATACAAACAAAGCAGATTACATAAGTGGCTATTCATGATTGAAGTGCACTCAATGGCCAGCATCATATTGAGTCTCAAATGTTGTAAGATTATGCTCCACAATAATCCAGACTACAACCCCACCTAAGTAATGCTTCATAATCGGAAACGCATTCCAGAATTTTGACTAAAATTTCGTGAAATCAGTCACGCACTGTAATTGCAAAGGCATTAATTGCTTACAGAACGTACTGTCCAGCTTACCCATGAAGACATCACCTGAGAGATTTAACAGAGGCAAGCTCATAGCGATATGGTATACATGCGTCAAAAAGGAGGTGCACATTTGATTTGCGTCTTAGTTATAATTCCTTGACTGCTTCGGTCGTTAAATTCTTACTTCCTGTAAGTTGAATGGTAGGAATTATGGGGGGTGCAATGGGCTGTCTCGGTCATCTGGTCGTTTGTTCGGAATGATAAACTATTTAGCGAAAAACGTCGTCGTTCCGTTTAGACTCAGGTCGCTGCCGTTGACAGCAGATTCGATACGGTGTTAATTGATAGACTCAAGACGCTTTGGACCGTGCCTGAAAAGGTCCATTTCGAAAGATTTACTCCAAGTCCGTGCATTAATTTCCTCGGAATTTAAACAAAACAAGACACTAGACCTGCTGTCTCATGAAAAATAGGCAGACGTTTTGAAATGTGTTTTCGGATAAGAAACTAATACTTGGATGGGTTTACAATATTACTCATTACAAGATATTTCAGTCGCCTCAGGGTGCCGACATTTGGAAAAACCTCTTTATTACCGCCTATTAATGCCTTACACTGTAAAACGTAATAATTGAGCAGTCTGCATGCATTTCATCCCGATTAGCTCAAATATGTGATAATGTATAAGCGGAATTAATAAACAGACAGATTTACGTCCTATAAATCTCCTAGTAAAAGATTTTAAACAACAAAAAGGCCTTTTTTAAGCATAAAGTTTGAAGAGGACGTACTTTGATACCGATATGTTTTTGAGTCTTTTATGAGAAATATATTTTAAATTTAAAGAGAAATCAAATGTCAATGGTGTATATGCATATTGCTTACGTAGTCGTTTTCACAAAAGTTCAGCTTCGCACGTGGCCGGAATAAGGCTCGTTGAAAACCCCGCGTCCTGGCGTGACTAGAATATCTTGAGAGAATGTTTCAGGATAATAAATATAAAGAAACTGTTTAAGTAGTCATGTGAATAAAAAACACTTCAGAATTCTAAACAGTATTTTACAAGATGGCTCATCTACCGTAGTACGAGCTACGGTTTCTCTGTTACCCACTTTGCTTCCCCTTTATCCTTTATAGTAGCAAAGTGTCCAAAAAGTTTACTCTTTAAAAATATCACGTTTCAAGGACGTATTTTATTTGGATCATATCACCCTATTTAGAATGTAATTTAATATATATTAAACGCATAAAGTGTACTTATACAACCTATTATTTTTATACAACACAAATTATAATTGTTGCCATTGTTTATAATAATTTTCAATAATTTTTATATTATATATTTTCAACAGCGTTTCCAAGTTATCTGTATTCTGCATAGGCAGGCTTCACCTTTTTAGAACAATTTTGCTACGGACAGACCGAACAGGTTTTTATATCGTCAAGGACATGGACGCCCATGCGACTGGATCTGGTGCCGTAAATTTAGAATGCATTTTCAATATAAGCGTATGAAGTCAATTTTCGACGTATTATACTTATCAGTATCAGTTATTTGAATCGGAAAACTACGGTAATTGCTATCCGACTAACGGTAACGAATTATAGGCCCAAATAAATGCTTGTTAAAATAAACAAAAATCATTGTTCGTTGGAACGAGTTACTTTATTTTTAGACGTTCGGCTCATTACGGCAATAAAGGCACTGTAAGCCTACGCTTGTAAACACATTTACAAAGTATCATTTTGACGAACAGGTATTTTTAAGTTGTATCCATTTCGTCAAAAAGTGCAACCGAAAAACGTTACAGTAAAACCACGCTTGGATAAGATTTGCGAACTTGAATCAACGTTTGACGATTATGAAACCCATGCAACACTATACTGACGAAAGTGCGTGACAACAGTCTGTTCTCAAGACGCAAATCACGCAAAAGAAATAAAAGTTAGGAAGTACCAGACGTATGAAAAAACGGTTTATTGATAACAAGTACGGGTTCATTTGAAGAGTCCGCCGACTTTTAGCTCTTAAAAATTGTTATATTAACTTACTCACTTTAACACAAACCCCGGACCGCTCTGCTAGTAAGTAGCTAAGATCGTGAATTTCAGAATATTCCTCTTCACCTTGTCTTCCTACTTAGTTATATTCCATCGAAGGAAGCTCATTAGTACAAGGCAGAAAAATATCTCTGACAGGAAACATGCCATTTAGATGGAAAATTTCCGGAATAATCATCGAGCAACGCTCTTACCTACCGTAATAATGACATCTTCGCCATCGGCCGTTTACTTCTTTTTAAAAACCAGAAAATGTCGTTTTAGAGTACACATTTATGACCACAACCAAGTATGCTGTCAGCCCACTAAATAAGCATTAACAGCTATTTACAGCCTTCTAGGTATCTGTATAGACGTTCTACGTCATAGTGACATTTAAAGTGTTTGGTACTTGCAAACTCGCACTTAAATATAGCGAGTTATTTGTATAGGAATTCTGAATGCATATTCCGGCATTACTAATGACATGACTGATCTAAATGTCAGTTTGCCTCAATAGTTTGGCGGTGTTTTCTTATGGCCTCCGGTGACTTTAAAACGGATTAACCGTTAGGACACGCGCACATTTGCGTCACTGAAAACCAAGTACAATCGGACAGCAGGCGGTGGGTAAAAATGCCACAAGGTCCCCATCACCGTAGGCAGGTTTCGGCCACCTTTCATTGCAACAACAAAACATTCATGCACCGACCTGCCTCCTTTGATTGGTCTGATTGCGAAGCACGTCCGCACTGCAACGCAGGCAGTAGACTTGCTATTTAAATCTGCGGAACAGCTCAAGTAAGTGCAGACCTGCTATTTGGAGAACGACATTTTCTCAGAAAGCAGACTGTTTTAATTCAGTGCAACAGCAAGCAAAAAGACTGAAGAAAGATGGATTACAGTGATTCGAGGAATACCCTCTCACCGGACTATTATTCAAAGGAACACACCAGTTCTGAGGGCATGTTACTGCGCGTTGGCAGACGCATGAGCCATGCTTTTCACTTTAGACCGTCTGTCGGAAAAATTTTTGAGGAGTGAGTGAACACGTTTTTATTATTTTGTGTGAGAGCCCTAGCAGAATTCAAAACAAGTGATATATTTTTTGCAATGCTGGCATTATGATCATAGAAGGATGTAGATGCTTGCACCGGTTCTTTCATAAATACTCTTTTAAGTGAACAAAATAGGCAACTCAAAAATTTAACAAATTATTAGTCAAAATGAAATAATAAAAAGGCAAACAAAAAATTAACCTCACGAATTTTTTGGCCTTTAAGTCCAACAATGTTCCTATTCATACGAAAGAAAAAAAGGCAGTCGACGATATAAAAAGTAAAAAGATTTTATTTGCCGGCAAGTTGTTCTGCTACTCACTGCTAAACGACATGTGCCCATTTTTGCGGTTGTATATTGACAAACAAATACGTGACGATAATAGAACAGGGCAATGGTGTGCGGCTAGAAAAATTGTCTTTAGAAAATGCAAGCTGGATGTTTAAAAATGCCAATGTCAGTAGCGGATTTGAGATAAAATTCGCGGTAAGAAGGCATTAAAATGGATTTTTAAATTTCACACCGCAAATTAGTCAAAACACTTAGTCGTGCATTGCTAATTGACTGCTCTTTTTATGAAAAAATAAAGCCAGTCTCCTGTCTTAGATAAACTGTTATTTTGCAAATTTAAAGATAAATTAAAAATTTTAGTTGCTTAAAGAGTATGACTGGGTAATTTTATATGTAGCCTGTGGAATGACTTTCTAAATTTAGCAGAACCAATCTAAATGAGGTAAAACGGCCTTTTTGCATGGGTGCAGCGAAGGTACTCATGAAGAGAGGACAGGGCCTTTTCACTGTAAGAAATATTTAAACAATGGAATGAACGTCCACGCACTCGTTGCAAATTGTTATGCAAAAAAGTGGGTTTTTATGACGATGTACCGCCTATTAATTTAGACGCATTGAACTGGAAACAATCTGCGTCTCTTTGTCTTACAGCTATTTATCGTTGAATTTCTCCCTGGGAATGTAAAACATATTTAACTTACAAGACCTAGTAAATTGATGATAGTAATGTACAAATTCGGCTTTTACTGTCTAACGACAATCCTGAGTCATACTGCACTTCTCTTTATTACAAATTTCTGAAATATGAATGACATAGACTTTATTCTGGAAATAACCAAATAGGTAACAAAATAACAATTTGGCCAACTCGAGGCCCTTAATTCCACGGATAATGCAAATCTCTGAGCATGATCTTAGTTTAGCTCATTTGACAGAGCTTTTTAAACGGGCCGACAAAAAATTTAATTATAAAGCAGATGAACGCTATTAAGTAACTTCACTGACATAAGTTTGAAACATTTCCATTCAGTCGGAATTGCGACCTTCACAAGCGACGGCGCATTTGAAATATTGGGTAATATTTGCCGAGCCGTGACTCGGTTGCGGGATATTAGCACTTTACCGACGCACTGCAGGGTCTTTTACATGTTTACCTCTGCAAATTGTGTACGGCTCAGCGCGCTACAGTTTGCTGGCAAAGTTAAAAACTGCTTCATACATATTATGTTCGTCATCGTAAAAAGAGAAAAATATTTTTTGTGTAACATTCCTTATATTACGAATAAAAAAACAACTGCCTAATCGGTGCAGCAAAATTTGGGAAACTAGTAATATGTTTTGCAGAAGGAACTCTGGGAAATCACACCCTAACATTTAACTGGTGATCGGGGCCAACATTGTCAAGAGTTTTCAGTTTTAAATAGACAACTCTGGTTCCACTCAAGACAATGTAGCCGAAAATGAGCTGTTTGTATTTTCGGTGCGTTCTCCGCAGATCAAGTTGAACAGTTTATTTAAGAATGACACTTTCTTAGATTAAAAAACTTCTTGAGCCACTGAAGGCCCAGACACGCGTTCTGCCCTACACCCAGGGGTTGCAGGACACAGCTGCGGGATGTTCGGCTCATCAGTTTATAAATATTATCTTTATAAGATTTTCTCTAATCTGAACATCGACTTGGGGTAAATCATTTTAAAATAATGCTTTGTATCACCCAACTGACGTTTGACATCAACTTTTATGAATGGTTACCTCAATAGATGCTTTGATAACAGCTTTCACGTTCAGCGACTTTTTCACGCTTTGTGCGGGCCTGAAAAAGGGTAAATCGAGACAGGATATATGTAGGAACATGATCGCCTGTAAAAGATAACAGCTAAGCAATTGTTCCGCTTTATAAAATACTCTGAAAACACGACCTTCTTCTGGATCTTCAAGTTTGCTAAATTCCTTTGTTTTTCAAATTAACAGTAGCGACTCACCGAGTTTGTCCTTTGTCGTCAGCTTAAGTTCTTTGGTGTTTAGACTGTCTCATAAGCAGCCCAATTTGCCTGCCTTATGTAAAAATATTTTTCATTCTTTTTCTGTTTTTCAATCCCCGCTGGTAAGCTTAGGCGGTTAAATAGAGAAGATAACTTTCAGTATACTTACTACACTTAATCACGTTCAAAAAACATATTCATGTGCCTTTGGCTGATTGTTTGCAATCTTAAAAAGGAATTCACGGAATGATAATTTATCTGGGAAAACAGCATCGAGGGCAAAAAATATATGCTAGAAACGTCAGGTCTTTGTGTGAATAATTCAGAAGTTTTGCGTCTCGGGAGAAGGACCGCAGACTAAGGTGCAACATAGCTCCCATAAGGACTAAAACTCACACCTCTTATAGCAGGAAAAACCCATAAGCATAGGTTTTTTCTATTTAGCTGGACAATTTCAGACTTTTTTCATTGGTTATAACAAGTGGTGACTACAACTATAAGGAAATTAAGGGGTTACATCTAAGTACGAAGAGGACTTCCTAAGAATGCTATTTCTTAATAAGATCACAGAGGTAAAACGCGAAAATGGTTATCATCTCATTTTTTGATTTTAAAGCAGTTATCTGGTCAACACAATACTAAGATAATGATATGTATTTTACAAAAGTTAGCATAATGAGACTTGGCGTAGGAGAGCGTTTGCATTTTACGAAAACAGGAAATTATAGCGGCTGCTTCTGATTAAGTATTCTGTAATTTCTTTCTACTTCATAGCACTTATATTTTACATGGCTGATTTTCTGAGCAGTTTGGGCTCAGTTTTGAAGACACTTCAAAACATTAGCCCAATTAAGACGATCTCACAAAACATTAAATAATTAACTTTAAACATTAAGGACGGCTTATTGTACATAATATTTTATGGAGATGAATTTGTGCTTTGTTTTACGTTCCTGTTAACTTAATCTTGCACACGTGACCGCACCCGTACTTTTAACAAAGTAGATCAGTATGTTCTAGGGTCTATAAGCGCAGAACAAAATTCGATGTATGAATATCTCGGCCGAAGTCCATCAGTAACAGCGGATGTCCGCGTAATATTCATCAACTGCCGATAGGCAGTTATCAGTACATTTTTATGGTAAGCGAATACCGTACTAATAGCACAGGTTCTGCAACCTCGCAGTTAAATTCTGAAGAAATCAAAAAATAACAAATGCTAAGTTGGAGCATTTGCCGGAAAGCAGATCGGGAATGCTGTGGGTTCCAATGATGAGCTGGACCCCTCGCAACTGTGTCATGCAGCGGCAGACTATCGGCAAAACACGCGTGTCGGGGGTTTAAGCTAGTCCCTCTACCGCTAGTATGATAGCCTGTAATGCTAAAACATACTACTAGCTTCCTGTCAGCAGCTAATGTATATTACGCGATTACCCGCGGTGGATGATGGATTTCGGCACGAATATTTATACATAAACTTTACTCTGAACCTATAGAGCCTAGAATCTGATGACAAAACCCAAGTTGGAGGTTAAATTCTTAAGGAATTTAAAAGACAACTATTGAAAAAGTTTTTATTTTGGCTCTTTAGACCAGCAGTCTCCATTTACATAGCACCGAACCAGCACAATTATTAATGCTACTTACCAAGTAAACAACATTCTATTGCAGTTTCACGACTAACATATGACCTTTTCCTAACGACATAAAGATATGTTTGGTATTCGATCGATGGAAAGCATACAGATTCTGGTTCGAAAACCCCAAGTGCATGCGTAACGGGTGATCGGGTGTAAAATCAACCGAAACCTGCTTATGTTCTTGAAAACTGACAAACACTCTTTCTTTGGGTGTGAGATGTAAAGAGGACGTAATTTGCTATCAGATGAGCTCAGGGAGGAAGGTTTTGCTACCGTTTTTCTAGAAAATATAGGCGAATTCTTAAGCATCTCAAAAATCACTCGGGAATATTTGCCCTATTTAAACCGCAATTTTGTACAAAGTATAATTTCTTCAGAGAGCCAAAAAATAGCTCATTCAAAAATTGAATTCTTGCGTGACTGGAGTATCTTGTAGATAGGCTGCAAAGTAAGAAATATTACAACCCCTTTGTTAGTAATCTCCAGGAATCAGAATTGCGGTTAGCATTTCATGGTATAGCACAACTACTAAAAGTCTAGCCGAGCCGATACTGCTCAAATTCTAATCCCAAAGCGTTCATAAATCACTTTCATCTTATGCAATTTGAAAGTTTTAGCTTAGAAGTGCTGCAGTATTTTGCAGAGGAATCACTGACATGCTAAGAGATCTGCTCCTGGTTAATGCCTGAGCACAGTTCAGTTAAAGTACAAACATCTAGAAACACCCTGCTGGATTATCACAGTCGCATGAATATCTGTCAGCTGATGACAACATTACTTTTTCACATATGTAAGACTAAACGACTTAGCTGACAGTTGAGCGACAATTACTAGTTACTGAGTCAAAAGCATCTTGACATAATCTGTGACTGCCACCATTAGGATATTTGTGGGGATACTTTCTGCGGAAAAACCAACCCACTGAGTCAGGAAATGGCGTTATTCCATGTGTTTTCCGGAATAAACTAACTCAGTAACAAGAAACCTGTAATAGGAGACTCTTTTTAGTGGAAATGGGCGGGCATAAAGCATAAAAATGATCCAAAAATTCACACAAGTTTCTGCAGTATTTTTTACACAAAACAAATCAATGGGGGACTTAAAAGAGCAATATGAATGGACAATCCAGTGCAATAGGCAGCAATACGAGAAACAGGGTTCCTGCGGTAAAATGAGACTCAAAGTCTGATGGCGTCCGCACCTTTACTGCGCCAGTACTCACTTTGGTTTAGTAGGCTGTGCTTGGGCGCATTAATTAAAATTACGAAGCCGCGCTAAACAGCGAGCAGAACTTGCACAAATGCGTCTGCAGTCTAGTCGTCAGAGACATAATTTGCGGAGCATATGAGTTCGAAATCAGCCTAAAGAGATGACCTGAGGCGATAGACTTCCATGTGATTTAACTGTCCGCTTGGGTTTCGGATAAGAGCTTGTAATAGAACGCCATTTCTGATACAACAAGGAGTCACAAATCAGCATACTTCGAAAAGCCCGCTTAATGCGAAAAAATAGACTTCCTTTATCCCCTGAAACCCTGACGGCGCTCGCCATTAACTAATCATTTCAAAATATCACATTTTCTCCATGACCCTTGGAGTAAATGTTTTTTGTCTATGTAAGGCCTTCCGTAATGAAAACAAGAAGGGATCATTTTTGGTCTGCTAAAAGGGCCAAAAATAACTTTCGAAGATGCAATTCAGAATTTCAGCCAACATTTCATGGGCTTTTCAAAGCACTTCTTTTCAATCTCCTGTAGAAAGCGTGCTCGTTAAAAAATGACAACTTAAGTAGCATGCATTTTTCCCATTGATTTTCGATGGGCTTTGATATTCAAATATATTTTATAGAAGCCATGAACAGAAATATGTCTCCGTTTAGTTAATCAATAGAGAATTACGTCTTCTTTATATTTTATACTTAAGCAAGGAGTATAATGATATTTTAAAAAAGTTTTCGAATTTCCGAATAATTTGGAGACGGATCATTCGTTGTATTAGCGCTTAGGTGCATGCGTTCCGCGTAAAGAAAGTCACATATTTTCCTATTCCGTTAAAGAGATATCATACAGAATCCATAAAATTTTGCAATGGATGCAGACCATGTTGTACATTTCATGAGGAGCAGTGGTAAACGGTTAGGTACGATGCTATGTAAATGGAAATTTCGCGGACTTAAAACGTGTCATGATAAGAAACCTTTTAAAAACCTAATTATGCTCCTTCCTTAAGTATAAAATACAAAGAAGACGTAATTCTCTATTGATAAACTAAAAGGAAGCATATTTTTGTTCATGTCTTCTATAAAATATATTTGAATATCCAAGCCCATCGAAAATCAATGGGAAAAATGCATGCTACTTAAGTTGTCATTTTTTACTGAGCACGCTTTCTACAGGAGATTGAAAAGAAGTGCTTTGAAAAGCCGACATCCTGCCGAGTTATAAGTGTACCACAAGATAAGGAATATTACAATCGCGACCAAGTAATCCTTCCTAATCGAAAACGCACTTCAGAATTTTAGCCAACATTTCATGAGATAGGTCACTTACTTTAATATATTATTGCAGAAGCCAGACGACAGAGTCTAGGGGTAGATTGATGCAGCACTGTTTCGGGATTATTGTGCCTTCATTTAGCCAAGCACAACCCTGACAACCAGCTGGGACCGGAAACACAAACATGCGCACAGACACACCTGGCGCAGCTGGTCCACCACTGGGGTCTACCAGATGGGTCATAAGCACTTCATCGAACAGAAGTTCATCAGCGCCTCGCCATCAGCCATTCTCTGTGAATATGCATTCTCTTTGAATATGCGGCCGTATAAATTTTATAGTTTAATATATAACACGCGCCTATTGATTGCGCGTATCGGTTTCTGGCTAGCGGATATTGGCCCAAATATTCACACCACTTCCCGGACCCATCATAAATCGATTTTCCCAGAGAATTTGTTTTATGTTCGCGTACTAGTCTAGGGCAAAACATAAAAGGTTCAGTGATGCCAATCAGTTTTCCTGAATTGTGCCATAAACAGTATTATACACAATTGTGTAATTATTTACCATACTAAGAACACAGGTATTAGTTGAAAGCCCAGACACGTGTTTTGCTGATATTACGCAGCTGCTTGACACATCTGTTAGGTGTTGGGCTCATCAGCGGATACTCCATATTTTAACTCAAATATTCATTGCGAACTTCCGACCATGCCTAAAAAGGTCTGCTTCGAATGATTTACTCCAAGGTCTTACATTATTTTCCTCAGAAACTAAACAACACAAGGTGAAACTGGAGTTCATTTACCAGAAAACACATTGGAAAAATTGGGGGCCCACTGATGAGCCGAACGCCTCGCAGCTGCGTCTAGCAGCAGCAAAAGATCGGCGAAACGTGTGTGTCTGAGATTTTTGCTAATATCTTTGTTGTTAATGCGGTAAACAATTATACAATTCTATACTACTGGCTGCGTGTTAGCTGTTTGTGAATTTTGCGCGGTTATTCCGCTGTATATGATGGATTTCAGCCAAAATATGCATGTCCATTCTCAGGCAGTGCCAAAAAATGTGTGTTTCGAAAGATTTGCTCCAAGTTCTTGCATTAATTTCCTCAGAAATTAAACAAGTCGCATATTATATATAACATATAGAACATCTCAACAGCTAACACCGTGCACGTAAAAATATAAAACGTTTTGACGTCATCTCCATGTTGCGAGCAATACTCCATGTCAGATGATTTCACGTAAGTAGGAAACGTGTTCTTTGTTGTCTGGTTCTGCCACCAAGCGGCTGATGCGCTCGACGAATTCGGCGGCCATATAGGATTCTGGAAGACGTTATCGGAATACGCACAATAATAATAAATTCAGTTGCCGGAAAAGGTCGCGCACATTGGACCCCTGTCGCCCCCATTATTCGTTTGTTAAAATCCTAGTCATTCTGTCAGTGGACCAGTGAATGTTAAGTAGAGAACCGACGTGCGGACTTGGCCACACCATCCTCTTAGGTCCTCTCCCCGCCTCCGGACTTCTTGACTCTATCCTAACACCGGGTCCAGGTGGGGAGTGGGAAAGTGAGCGTGCGGCAGATGCTGTGCAAGTCTACTATAAACCGAATCACGCACAAGTCACCGCGCCCGCTCCCAGCTCTCTGCGAGGCACACGGTGATCATCGTTGGCAACGACGGTCGAACCGTCTGTTCTGTCAGCCATTGGTGTATGAAACAAAGGAAGAGCAGGTATGGTTGATCCCAGAAGAGTCCGTCTCCATGGAAAGTCAACGCATTTCTTATCATTATAAATCGGGCGCGCTTAGATCTATCATGATAGGCTAAGAGTCCTGGCTTTAAAGGTTGCAAACTGACGAGATAACACGGTCTTAATGGGACTGTTTTGAAGCATTTTCAGGTATGCAGTATGGGGGCCGCTCTCTTGACGGCATGGAAAACGAATGGTTTGCGCCAGATCGTCTGCGTTCAGTCGTGTCAGCCAGTGCACTAGAGGCCACGTCTGACCTTCTTAGGAGTTTCTTGCTGTCACAGGTGAGGGAGGGTTAGAGTGCGATAGATGCTGCGCAAGTCGTCCAAACTAAGAGAAAACTTACTAATAGCCCTCCTTTCGCAGGTCACACGGTTAACATCTTCAATAGCCCTTTCGTCTTACTATTTCCGTTAATATGTGTAACTTACAACTATTGCGCAAATTTTATGTTTATTAAACACGGTAAACTTGCTTACTGCGCTTACTTCAGTTATCTCAAAATTTTAAGAAAGTTGAAAAAAGCACGCGGAAAATGTGCCATCTCACTTTATTTAACCTTTTGTACTCCAGTGCAAAATAAACAGTACTTTCGATGCATTCTGGTCTTTAGGGAAATAGCTGAGATTAATTAATTAATAAGCATATACTTGTACGGCATTCTAGAGTGTTTTCGGTAATTGCTAATCTTACTCAGCACAAATAGACGCTGAATGTGGCCTTAGTTTTCATAAAACAACAATGTATTCTCAGGTCAAAGGTCATGTTTCTTATTATTGCTTTGGAAGATTTACCAGAGAGATAATTTTAAGATGAAAGGTACGTTTAACCACACAGACTTAAAATGACCGCTGGGACCTTCTATTTTTTTAAGACTAACGTGTCTCCCGGATTCGCATTGAAGTCTTTATTATTTGGACATTATTGTCGGATTAAAAGCTTATTCTGACTGAGTATGGTTATTTAAAAATCCTTCCAGACATTAAAGGAGATTAAATCATTGGAAAAATAATTGCATATGCCTGACATTTCCTAATCTAATTGGAGACCATCAGCATTGAGAACGTTGCAGACGAAGGGTTTGAGTAAGAATTCGAAATTTCAGACGAAAGTTATCCTTGGTTTGCTGATGGAATCTCCTCCTTCTTCTTCTTCTTCTTCTTCTTCTTCTTCTGCTTCTTCTTCTTCTGCTTCTTCTTTTTCTTTTTCCTCTACTTCTTCTTCCTCATCTTTCAAATCCGATACTTGCCAGCTGTGCATTAGAGTGCCCGTTTGCGCTGCATTTGAACCTTTAGGTAACCGTGATTAAAATCATGAAAAGGCAGCTGCTTTGATAAGCAGAATAAGCCATATTTGTCTCCTTGCATTGGCAATAAATGGGATTGAAATATGCGCAAGCACTCAATTGGCCAAAGATACACGATAAGTAATGCAACTTATGATACATTAGGAGAAAATGTATATGATAAACTCGAGCACTGCTTATTTATTATAAATCTCACGTGTCGGGGAAAAAGTCTTTTTCGCCCTCAGTGCCTATCTTTAAGAACGGTTTTCGAGGGAAATTTGGGCCAAAACGGACGTTTACATATATATATAGGCAATTTCTTAAGTAAATAATTGCCCCAGACAATATTTATTTAAGTAGAAAAGATTTTCCAAAACGGCCATCGCCAACTTATTGCAAATAAGCGAACTATCTTCAAAAAAGCGAAAATTCTTCGATCTCTTAAGCTGCTTATGGCTAAACCTTAGCATCTTTGTGCCATAAAAACCGTAATAATTCCCACAGGCAATATTCTGTTTTAATATGCTCTCTGGTTCTGGTCTGTACTGGTATTTCAAGTAAGATCGCAAAATGCCTACGGCTAATCGATTACTCTCGTTGTTGAGCACGTGGTAGAAGCATTCATGTGAGGCCCATTTTCTGTTGTTACGTCGGTCAGAAACGGGACAGGCATGGCTTATGCCGTCTGATAACTAATCGCGTACTTTTAGAGCCCTTCTCTAGTACCGTTATTGAATAATCTGATGAAGTGTAATCGAAATTCTTAGGGGCATTCTTGATTAGGAAAGATCAGTTAGGCAGAATTGTAGTCAGGCTTTTCGCACGGCATGATCCAAGAATATATTAGTCACGCCGGGCCATCGACTCCTTAGTGTTCCTATTTTTGCCCGCCCAAAAACCCTCGATCGGTTTGAATAACCACCTACACTGCACGCATTTTGTCCACTGTCATTATTTATTAAAATACAATTTACAGAAAACCAGCTTGAAAATATCTCTTAATTATTTATTTGGTCAAAAATCACGCCTAATTCAAAGTTCATACTTGATGAAGGAGTATCTGTCGGTTTAAAAAGTTTATCATTATCGAATCGTTAGTGACAGTAATATGTACATTCAAATTTCTTTCGTATTTTCCCGTTTGCAAATGTTGCCTATACAACATAATCCACATCCACTGCAAATGTTACTGAGCCCCATATTCTATATCCTTAACGGCATAAATGAGTGTATGATTTTCTTTACATGCAAAGTATACAGCTTGTGGTCCCTGATGTTCTACCAAAGAAATTCGTTTCTTTTAAAGACTATTTAAATATTTAAGAACATGAAAAATCAATGAGCGACATCTCAGTGTTCATTTTTGCGAACGCGGTTTGGATGACGGCGGAAAGGAGGTATATTCAGGAGCCGGCATCTTAACGCGACGGAAATATTTTAGATTGTGACGCGCGGCAATCATTATCACGCCTCATTAAACAATCCTTTCTATTCGCAAACGCTTTTCTATTAACATATTGTGTGATTAGTCATTATATGAGTTTACTCGCACAGTAAAGCCTAAAAGTTGGCACATAAGTCGAAGAGGTCGCAAAGTAAAAAAGCAGATACCTTTGGGGTTACAGGCAGTAAAAAGTATCAAAATTTGTTGAGGAAGTTTATGCGCGCGCAAAGTTCTCCAGTTTTTATGTCGACTACTTTGGCGTAGGCTGAAAGACGTAGGGAATAATCTAAAAACTGGCGAAACATGGAGATTTTTAAAAGCCGAACTTATAGGAAAAAAATTTTATTTGATCACGTGCACTTTCACAGCAGACCTGCATTGTGTCAGTTCATTCCCTTTTTGGCGATTTAGTTACGTGACAAAGGAAGCCCACAAATATTGCACAATCCATTATTTACGTAAAAAGAACATCTGGGAACCTACTCCTCGGGCGATAAATTATCGGAACTCTGGTATTTTGAAGATTGCAAAACCTACACTCCAAAATGCATCATTTGTGCCAAATATCTCAGAAAAATGGCAGCCGAAGATTACTAGTTAACAGTTCAAATCTAGTAGACGCTATTGTTGACCGAAAACAAACGGCAATTTTACGGGAAAACAGCTTCGCAACACAAAACTTTCATGTTTATAGTTGAGTTGACAAATCCTTCTAAAATTTCTTGCTCTATGAACGACCTCTTGAATTTCGACCTTTGTGGGAAATCCTGTTTGCTCTTGTCGACAATTTTCCTAACAGTGTTAAATCAAAACCCTATGTGTTTTGGTATATTCGAAACATTCATTTGAGCCAACTGTGTAGAACTCAGCGTCTTGGGTAGCATTCGAACCCATGAGAGCAAGGACAAGGCTGAACCGTCACGTATAACTCTAAATGGTTAAAATCACGGTTCCCGGCTAGGCCTTGTAGCTTAGGTGGTGTGAGCGTTGGCGTTACTTAAGCTCTGCCCTTACTGTCGTGAATTCAGATTCCATTTGAGCCGTTGAGTTTTGCAAAAGTGGTTCAAATGAAAATCATTATATTTTAATCTACTCATAGCGTTTTGAATCAGCGATTTGCCGACTGCGATAATGCAAAACATACTCATTCTTACGGATCTACAGCCTACAGAGATCGTTCATAGTGATCTGTAATCGCTGTTGTTTTAAATCTGTTCTGGTAAATCAGTTAATCGTATGGAAGATCATTATCTTTTTCTGCAGAGCAAATTTGATTAAAAAACACAAAATGTCCCGCATTCTACGTTTGCCTTCTAGGGAAATTGATATTTCTTTCAGACTAAGCACGAAAATATGAACTTAGTCCAATATTAAAGTTGGTTTAGCCCTAAATTCCATGGGAATTAAGTCTAGGGCTAGGTTTAGAAGTGTTACTGTTGTGGATGGGTACCCCCGGAGGGGATCTTATTCCTGTGTCCGACTTTTTAGTAATGATTCGTTTTGTTGTTCTATTCAAATTAAAGTAAGTAATATGTAACTGAATGTTTTCATGTAATCATTTGAACTGGTTTCCGACTGGTTAAATGTCATTTGTGGATTTTCGCACATTTTATGCCTCGTAGAAGTTAACTTTCAACTACTTATGATGTATGCTAAGACTTTGCACAAGTTGTGTGTATTTTCGCTAATTAGGCAACACTAAGCTAGTAATTGAGTTTTAATCATAAAACTTAATTCAACTTGATACGCAGATAACATGAAACGTGGGAAACTGTTTGAATGGAAAATGTTTGTCATGGATTGGTCTGGTTTTAGCTGAGACCTTGACAAATGCATTTTCAGATTTATTTGTCAAATTAAGCAAATGACAGTGTCTAAATCCTGAAAACTTGTAGAAACTGAGGGCGAGTGCAAAATTTAAATTGAATTAAATTGATGACAGAATAGAACAGCCCGATGTGATTGCTTAAACTAAGAGTGTGAAAAATTAGTGATGATTTGCACTATGTCATATGTAAAGAAACTGTATGAGGAAAAAGGTGTTTAAATTTTTAAAAACGAATAGGAACCATTGACGTCAGAAAGATACGGTGCGAGTTAGGTTTTCATTTTAAAGCAGTACCATTGTATAACGTTTAATTATGCTATGTTATCAAACGCTCTGTATGACAAAAACATCCCTAAGCAGTGATCATCATAATCTTGGCGGCCTGGATTGAAAAGAGTCCTCTTCTGGCTTGTTCATGTATGCAAATTAGAGTAAGAAAATAAAATGATGAGTACACAGACAAAACAAATACTGCCAGTCAGAATGACACTACCGAATACTAGAGCCGCAAACACGTAAAGTAAGCCTTGCAATCTCCGCACAAATATCCCCAAAGCAGACATTTTTTATTTTAAAATGTGGGGTTGGCTAATACGTGCATTGCAGTCGGGTATGCGACTGATTAGTTTATAGAACACCAAACGGAAACTCTGGTGGCCAATGTTATAGTCTTTTTCACCTAAAAGGCTTCAAGGTCGGATATTTTAAAGATTAAACGAAAAAACTGCTCTCGGTAAATAGAACAATGAAGAGAACATCAGGCGCCCCGCAATAGAAAGTGCCGTTAAAACTAGGCCCGTTCATATGCGATCCAGGTATTTGAAAACTGGTGGATGAGTCGCCATCTGTTTTTTTTCCCAGATTCGGTGTCAGGGTTTGCATTTTTGACAAACTGCCTCGGAATAGGCAGGGTGACCAATTTTTGATTATTGCTAGTTTTGATCGCTCACAGCAGCATCTATCTCTGACTCCATCGGAGTTTATACAAGATGAAAAAGCACTGGAACATTAGCGCGAGTTCGGTGTATATGAATATGCTCGCAGATTGCTTTCTTTCCCATCGGTTACCTTGCGAGGACAAAACCAGGGGTGTGACAAATTGTCAAGACAGACGTGGTCCCCATAACGGACTGCGCTGCGCATGTGCTAGTACAAAATTAAGATAGGACTGACTCGCAGCACGCGTCTACGGGGCTGCACAGAGTTTGTGCGAGCCCATAACAAGAACCTAACACGGGAGTGTGGCGACATTCCTAAGCAAATGCCTTTCAGTTCATTGGGTACTGTAGCCTACCCAGTCATGCGTTTTGTCGTTTAGCTCAGAAAAGTGTTTGCAACAGGGTTTACGGAGATATTCGGATTCTGGGAACTCCATCATCATAGCACGTAATCGCACTCTTCGCTGCAATAAATAGTAAAAGCTGGAATCTATCAAGGCGTACCGATAGTCGTGACTTTGAAAGTTCCCGTCTGAAGAGGCAATACAGCCCTTCTCATGACTGAGGGTCAGGCTGTGATGGTTTCCGCTCACGATAGAGCGTGATACGTGCTTGTTAGAGCCTGCTATGTGCGCCGGGAGGATCAGCTCGTGTGCAGCACGCGTAGACGGACCGTTCAAATTTATCAGCTGCTGCTCACACGACCATCCGTAATAGTTTTCATATTTTTTTTGCCATCAAGGCACTATAGGTGAGGGAGGAGAGCAGGTTAGTGTCACGAAAATGTGTCCCATCAAAATTTAACTTAGGCTAAAGTCTTCTGGATGTTCGGCGGTGGACATGGCCAACTGCAGCCTCTTTTATATTAAGTCCGAGGATCCTCTGAACACCGTCCTCAGGACCTGACAGGGATAGCTTTTCGTTGTTCGTTGATGGGAGTATTTACATCCTTATAAACGTATCCACAATCATTAAGTATTTCCCACATATTGTGCTTTAAGCCTGCGTCGTTGTTTAGAAGAATGACTCCCTTTTAGGCCGCCTCGATAGTGCCAGCAGAAATTTTCAAACCATTATACTCAATCCTTAATTTAGTTCAAACGGAGTCAGTCCGACCAGTTTCCTCTAACAAAATCAAACAACTGTGAAAAGAAAAGCGTTCTTCCGGTGCTTGGCGAGCGCTTATTAAGCGCGTTCTTCGGATTCCTACAAATTCTGCAGCTCCAGTCTTATAGAATGTATTCCTTATGTCTTTGAGTTATGCCGTTTAATCCAAAACAAATGTTTTCACATAAACGTAGAAAAATGCCTTAATTAGATCTGACAATTCTTAAACTAGGCGCCATAAATATGCCTTATTTAAAGTGGACTTTTGCTATATCAAAGACAGTTACGTTTAGCCAGTTTTTTTCCACCAAACGTTTGCTTTGACTTTGCATCAACTAATATCTAAAGCGCAGAAGTTTTCATAATTGAAATCCCCTCTTTCGTCGACTGTATGTCCGCTGTGTGATGATTTTGTTTTTTTTCGAATTCCACTATCCCGCCCTGGATTTTACCGGCTGAAAAATCACGAAAACATTCATATTATAAAACGAAACCATCAGTGGCCGTGGCTTGACCTCAGGTTCGACTTTCTAAGTAGCATGTAAATGCAAAAAGCCTGCATGTTCACTGGCTGCTAGGCCAGTTATCACCTGACGATGCCTAATCTTATCTGGTTGTACGAACCTACCTGGCAGATGATAGCAAGAAGCGGAAACAATCGGCACCGCTAATTATCGATGCCATCAACGAAAATAGAGACGGCCGCGATGAAAAGACAGTACAGGTCACCACCATAATCAGCATTAGCAGCCTACGCATCGAACTCCAAATGATGGGACTTGTGCATTTAAATCTCCAGTCGCTAAAGATGAGTAACCCAAATCACTACTCTATCCCCAGGATAAACCCATTTAGACGAACGTTTCTTCTTATGAAATTCTAGTCAAGGGTCGCATTTTCAGTAGTATTAAAGATTATGTCGAGTATCTCGCAGTACTCCAGAATGGTAGACACTTTCTAAAGCATAGATTACTCTGAAAAACAGCTCAAGTTGGGTACGTGACGCCAGCCGTCCATAATATTATTAAAATACAAATACAGATGCATCGTCTCTGATCAAGCCGGATTTTGTGTAATCATATAACTAATGGTGAGAGATCTGTGATAATAAACCAACCCACCATGTTCTTCTTCCTTGAGGCTGTCCGTAAGTGAAACATTGGGGACTGTAAAAATGAAATGAATCATCCTAAATGGAAACTAGTGGTTACCTAAATATGCATTGCATTTAAATTTTTCGTATAGATTATCGAAAAAAGGGCCTAGTTCTATTTGCACGACTTCAAAATATCTTTTTTTATAACAAAAGCCGTCGATGTCCTTTTGGCGTGCAATAACACTAGAATAAATCACCAAAATATAAGTCATCTTAGCAAGGGTATGGGTTGTGGGCGAGGTTACATAATTCTAGGAGCATTTGTGTTAAGCAAAAGAGCTGAATATCTAATAACTTTGTGGAATCAAGACGTTTTATCCTCCACATTTTCACCAACTAAAAGGGGACACTATTTTTACCATTCAATGTCAGTAGCAAGTGCATTTAATGCCCCTTCGCAGGCATCGTCAAAAATTTATCGCATTTTTGTAATTTTACTCTAATGACTACCGTAAAACATCTTTACCACCCTCATGCAACAAGCATCGCGAGGTGTCTTCATTTCTTTCTCTGGCATGAACAAACATATATCGCCAGTTATTTTTACTTAGTACAAGTTGTTTCTCGGAGTAAGTAATCCCGTCACGAACGATACCCTTGCCATCATTCTTGAACTCCCACCCATATCTCAAGAAATAAAATGTTGAAAATGGGGTCATTGGTATGTGTGAGGCAAATGCAGGCGTTTGTCACCGATAAAACCGAAACCACCTGTACGAAAATTTCTGGAGAAATTACCATCAACTCTGCATTTAAATGTTTCGACTAGGTCCGATAGCATTACCGCGACAGAGAGGTCCGTTCCAGGCTCTAACGATTCCCTGCTAGAAGGATGTTTTCTCAGATGTGTTGGGTTGTGCCCTAGGTTTGTGCGCTTTTCAATTATTCAAAATTTTATCATATTCTTATAAACCGTCTGCAAACTTAACTAATTATGTTGTCCTTTTTGTTGTTTATGGCCGCCCTCCAACGGTCAGGCAGTTTTAAAATCTCACGCTTGAATTAATTTCCAGGTTTTGACGCAAGGACTTCTTCAATCTAATTTTGAAGATCCGCGTCATTGTTGAGAAATTCGTCTGTCGAATTGTTTTTGAAAAACCGAAAAGGCAGTAATTAGTTAGAGCAAGGTCAGGAATATGTGGTGGATGCGCAAAAACATCCCAAACAAGGTCTTCAGCGTCAGTTTTATTTAACTTTACAACTTGAGGCCTCGTGCCGTCGTGCTGCAAAAGGACATCTAGACAGCGAAGTTATTGACTGTAAAGCCCCACAACAGCAGTCTGCTTCCTATCAAGCAATTATTAACAGGTATTTCCGCCATATTCGACCAGACACACAGCAGCCGCTTGCGAGACTAAACATACATTAGGTGGGCTAACTCAGGAAATGTCAACCGACATTCCAAAATGCGTTTTCGTCTCGAAACGATTAATGAAGTAGGGCTGTAAAACCAATCATCGTGCAGCATAATTCTATAATAATTCACTTACTTCACAATGTCGGCTTTCAAAGAAATTCCTTTTCGGCTGCATTCAAAAAAACATCCTGTACAAAATGACTACTTAAGTAGCATGCATTTTTCTCATCGATTTTCAGTGCCCTTAGAAAGTCATTTATACTTCATAAAAGACATGCATAAAATATTTACTTTTTTTACTCATTCGGTAGAAAATACGCCTTCTTTCAATTGCATACTTATAGAGAGGGTTTAATTCGGTTTAAATAAACTTTTCCATTGCAGAAAAATTGTGAACTTAAGCTGCCGTTACACTTGCATTCAGGGATTCTAAACTACAAACCGTATATTATTTGCAAATGGAAAACCATATTTTTATACGGTATTAAGAGATGAGCATATGGGATTCATAAAAGTTGGCAGTGGATTTGAGCCGTATTCCTAACTTTACAAACAACATCAGTAAATGCAGAGACACGATGTTTTATTAACGGATATTTCACGGTATTAAAAAATCCCACAATTAGAAACCTTTTAAAACCAACCTATACCCCTTCTTTGGGTATATATTTGATGTAAATATAGTTTTCTACCGAATTAGAAAGAGAATGAGTGTTTTATATATGTTTTCCATGAAATATAATTGACTTTCTAAGGGCATAGGAAGTCAATGATAAAATTTTACAGAGTATGGTTCTTGCATGCAGCCGAAAAGTAGTTTGTTTGAAAGCCCTAACCTGGGATAACTAAAATATTTCAGAATTATTTTGCAGGTGGACTAGTTTTACAGCCCTACTTAATTAATTTTTCCGAAACAAAAACGCCTTTCGGAATTTCGGTTGACGTTTCATGAGTTAGTTCACCTACTGTAAGGTTTAGTTTGAGGTGTGCCTTGCTTATTATGGCTTAGTTCTTCTTGCTCATGTTTCGCATTCACGTTTCAAATCGCTTTTTCATCTCCACTAATAATTGGCTTCAAAAGCGTTTACGCTGTTTACGGGCAAGACGATATTGGGTCAAAAATTAAGCGCAAGCAAGCTCGAAAGAGGAGGTCAGAAATGTTCATTTTGACGATCTCGCACTCCTTGTTCTTTGGGCTGTAAATAAAAAATAATTCATAAAAAATTGCAAACAAATTCTGTAAGCGCCTAGCAAGAATAATAAAATGACAAATAAAACGGATACATCAAAATACATAAATACATATTAAAATTCCACCTCTATGCGCCTACATGAACACCAGTGGGCAGTGAAGAGGCGCGACCACTTATCCCAACTCGCCATGCATACCCTTGAAACTGGGCACAAATTCGCTTGGGATAAAACACGAATTGTCGGTTCCCGCCCACATTAGAAAGGCCGAAAATTCCTAGAGGCCATTCACTCTGATGAGTCATGCATCAATCGACGCATCGATCTTGACGACATGTACACAAATCTCAAGGGAAATTACAAAAGGTAATAGCCAATCAAGACATGACATCAGCCCACGGCATCAACCCATCCTCAGCCATGACAGAGCAATATCGATTTTTGGGCATGTTAAAATTTTTACTGTTTCTTCACACTTACTACACGTCTGAAGACCAAAAGAAGAACCAGACTCAATAATTTACGAAATAAAGTTTATTGATTTTCTCAAAGGACTCATTATTCTTTGAAATACAGTAGACGTGCTAATTCATGAAATGCCAACAAAATTTCGAAATGCGTTCTCGTTTCGAAAAGATAAATTAAGTAGTCTTGTAAAACTAATCAGGATGCAGCATAAAGCTATAATGATCCAGTTACCTCAGGGTGTCGGCTTTTGAAAGAACTTATTTTCGGCTGCATGTAAGATCTATACTCTGCAAAAAACGACTACTTATGTAGCATGCAATTTTCTCATTGATTTTCGATGCCCTCGAAAATTCAATTATATTTCATAAAAAACATGCATACAAATAATCATTGTTTTACTTATTCCGTAGAAAATCACGTTTTTCTTCCAATTTCACACTCAAAAGAAGAGGATAATTCGGTTTTAAAAAACTTTTCTAATTCCCGAATAATTTTGAACCCGACCTGCTGTTACACTTGCATTCAGGGTCTCAAAACTATAAACTGCATATTTTCCGTGTACGGAAAGCCATGCATTCCTCTACGGTGTTAAGAGGAGACCATATGAGGTTCATAAAATTAAGCAGTGGATTTGAGCAATATTCTGAACTTTATAAGCCACATTCGCAAATGCAGATACATGACGTTTCATGAACGGCCATTTAACGGTATTAAAAAATTTCACAATTAGAAACTTTTTAAAAACCGAATTATACTCTTCTTTTGAGTATGAAATTGGAAGAAGACGTGATTTTCTACAGAATAAGTAAAAGAATGAATATTTGTATGCATGTTTTCCAGGAAATATAATTGAATTATCAAGGGCATCGAAAATCAATGAGAAAATTGCATAATACTTAGGTAGTCATTTTTTGCAGAGTATAGATCTTGCATGCAGCCGAAAATAAGTTCTTTCAAAAGCCGACACCCTGTGGTAACTGGATCATTATAGATGTATGCAGCATCCTTATTGGTTTTACAACACTACTTAATTTATCTTTTCGAAACGAGAACGCATTTCGAAATTTTGTTGACATTTCATGAGTTAGCACATCTACTGTATGTTTGTTCTGATGCCCATCTTCCAGTTTATATTGAAAAGCGTATCAACTTATGGTACAACCCTATACGCATGGACCAACCTCATTTATAGCTTAAAGAATCTACTACGCTCCGTTAAGCACAAAATAGAAATAGTTGTTCACGAAAGCGTCTGAGGAAAAAAATCGTTTTGGAGTTTTAGGGACACAAACACAAGGCCATTATATCAGAATTTTGAATAGTGCCCCAAAATAGAGAACAGCTTCCGTCATTCTGCCGCCATCTACCAACATCTGGACTAAAAATGAAGAGACACTTTGATTCGCGCAAAAAGGGCAATTTTGCAAACTCTCCTTTGATCAATTGTCAGCCCTGTAGTGTGATCGTGCATGCAAGGCCTTTGTCCTGGCGGCAAATGACATTTTTGATAGCATTATCTGAAAATGATCGTCTCACCCTAACTGAAAATTCACGGCATTGGTGAGGCAAGTTTTAAAACGCAACTGGATCTCTCGACGCAGTTGTCAACGCCTTCGTATGGGTGGTGGTGGTGGTGGCGGCGGCGGCGGCGGCGGCGGTGGTGGTGGTGGTGGTGCTCACAGGATGGGGAATGACAATTATTGCTTGCATCGTTTTTAGCACCGACTGTGCTATGCTTGTTTCGCGACATTCGATCCACTGAAGGCTTGGCCGAACACATTTAGGATTGTTGTACAGACTGAGCATCGCATACGACGGTGTCCACCACTGTCACAATAAACTGATCCGATGCAGAAATGTGTCCAAGGTGGGACGGACTTGCTTAGCGCCTACTTCGTTCCCTCCTTCCGCAAAACCTGTTGTACTCGGATGAAAAAGCAGAGCTCGCGTCTGCCCAGTGGCAGACAAGACCACACGATCCGTCTACGTGTGCCCCACGCAAACTGACTCGGGTTACGGATGTATCGGTTTCAGTTAGGTGGTTCCGGATCTCACATAAGGGGTGGGGACAAAAGTAACCGCCGTGGGTCTCAGTCACCTTGTCGTTTGCTCGTCGTGATAGGCCTCCGTGCGTCAGATTTACTGCGCCGAAAAATGTGCTGGTATTATATGAGACTGTGTTACTCGGAATTGATGGCATTCGATGTTCTAGTTCTTTCACTTATCAGTCGGTTGTGCGAGATTTTCAACGAGTTGACGATAATGGTTGGCGCAGAAGCCTCCGTCTACAACGAGCCACATGCATGCATGGGGGCGGGTAATGACTCGCATATGGGCTACCGTGACATCTAAGGAGGCGATGGGGGGATTGTGCGCCAAACCTGTAGTGGTTCGTAACGGAAGCAAGCGGCAGTTTATTTGTTTTCTCGGCTGTGGAGATAACAGCCTCACACAGGTCCGCCGTCCTGTTTCACGGCAACGGTTTTCTAGGTCTTTAAGTTCGTTATTTCTATTGTTGACGAGACGAAATTCTTGCGATGGAGATTGGGCCTTGTAATTATCCGTGGTCCATTCCTCAAATGATCGCATTCCAATTCAAACAGAACATTAGCTCAAAACTACGCATTGTTGGTCGCTCGATTTAGAGATATGGTAACATCAGTCGTTAGCACAGCCTATGAACAGTTCTTTGTAATTCAGTAGGCAGGACAATTGATACAAATACGGGAAATTTGGCTTTCCATAGCCTTCTCGTTGACTATGCTTTTTCCTCGTACGGAATCTTTATTTTTACGGAAGCGCCCGTGTGCTAGAACGATTTATGGTCTTCATGACAAAGTGGAGTTTTTATACGAGAAAACAATCACTTGGCCCCGGCCTCCGATAGGAAATCCACCTTTAGTTCCACATACGACATTCAAACCGTCAAAAACTAGGACGCCCACAGCGTGGACAGAGGAGTGGACGCAAAAATGACGGTTTGACCGTCATCGCGAGTGATGTCCACAGTGTGCCTCACAGCCTGGTGGGAGCAGGGACGGGGATTTAGGCGTACATTAATTTATAAGGATGGTGGACTGGCCCTACATCTACTGCGTTCCCCCCCCCCCCATCCACTTGCACCTGGACCTGGTCTCATTTGAGAGTCAAGAAGGCCGGAGGCGAGAGAGGACACAGGTAGCTGACCCAGCAAAAACCATCACTTTGGCGCGGGCCACCGACTCATGTCCTACCGAGTGAAGACGCCATAGAGGAGCCATTGCAGATTGACTCTCAGTTTGTCACTCCACATACCTAAACACTGGGCTTACTGCAAGGTCACGGTAACGATGATTGATTTGTGATTAAGTTTATCGTGAGTCAGACTTAAGCCGGCTTTTTATCCTCCCTTATGCGCATTGCTCTGGTAGGACGAAAACTGCTTGTCAGTCATCAAGGCATCCTTCCTCGCTTTTGAGAACTGTGTACTCATATAGTAGTACGGCGGGACGTAGGCAAGGACTCTGAATCCTTAAATTCAGGTATTAGAAGAAGCCTACCCTAAATCGGGGTGTTTCCTAGACATATCGTTCGCCTGGCCGTGGCATAGCCGGTTTACTTGACGACTGAATTGTTTTGATCCCTCAGCATGTTGGGCCTGCTAAGAACTAGCGCCAGATCGATAAATCTATTGGCTGAGTTCTCATCCAGGGCCCTGGCTTTATTCAATACTCGGCCTCGGATGATAAGTCAGTCGATCAATTTTACGATTTGGCGCTGGCGTACAGAGCCCTAAGCAGTCACCTCCAACCTTGCGCCGCCGGTCGATGATTGGCTAACACGCTCTATAACTGTCGCTTGTTCTGTTGTTGCTAATATCTCCGAATATAAACACTTGTCGAGTTCGAAAGCCCAGAACAGTAAATAAAATATTTGGGTGCTCGACCCCCGAGATACGTTATTTCCTGCTTAATAAAAAGGAGTGCAATTAACACGTTTGGGCTTCATTCTGCCGGCATGAATGAATTTACATCCAACATGCTGAAGGGGCCAAAAGGTGTTTTTGGCAAAGTGCTGCCTAGACGACAAAGTAAACGTTACTGAATTGTGTGAGTAGACACGTTTAATGCGCGTTTTTGAGCTGAACGTGTCCTGGTACTTCACTTATCAACAACGAAGAATTTAATCTTGTTAATAAAGATCCTCTTCCTAACCACTCTGAAAAGTTTTCATCCCTTTTGCTTGTGAGATATCTTTGTAATAAGTTGTTAAAAAATAATAGTTTTGGCTTCAGTTTACCACTTCATTACCTTTATCGATGATTCAAAAAATGTCAACTGATTTACGTATTTCCTTTTTAAATTTGTATTGGGTTTTTGCATAAACGAACAGGGCGCATAAAGTTTGCTTTTATTGACCTGGTCGCCCTATCTGATCCTTGTCTGAATAGTTATACGTGTTGAATATGTATTCCGAGTCTATAACGTAAGTGTGACCATGTGTGTATAAGAAGTATTATTTTTTGGATTTTAGCCTTTATCTCGAAGTCATGAAAGTAAACTAAATCAAGAGATATTTGCTGGTAGAATAACTCGCGCAACCACCAATGATAATAAGCAATTGCTTATCTTAGAGCGAAAATTCATAAATAAACCATATATTTGACCTTAGGTTTTCTGCAGAAGATAGATTGTTTTCGGGTCTTTCTGATCGCAATTACCGTCAAGAAAATTAAACAAAAATAAGTGACGGTTAAACCCGAACGAAAGCAAGTAAGTGCATGTTGAAATTGGGAGAGGGCGTACTAGGAATTAGATGACCATTTTCAGTATTCGGCTGTTGGATGAAACATATATGACTGCACTGGGCTGGCGAAGAAATGTTGCACACACCGGTGATCGATAAATTCGTTTCAGTAAGTCTACTTTCCAAAATAACAAGTGCGCTCGAAAATGGTTATTTCAAGTATACTTTAGTTATTAGTTTTTCTATGTCGGTTGTCATATATACCTGCTTAATTTCCATTTTTAAAGACTGTAAAGTTATCGACTTTTGCTAAAGAATTTTCAAAACGTTACGGATTTACAATGTCTCAGTATTAAAAGCGCTTTTATTGGATAAAATAAAGCTAATTTTTCAATGAGGCTTCAAGGATGTTGACTGCATTGCTGTGCCAGACCATTGCAACAATTCCTGCGCTCATCAGAATTGAATTGCAATAGCCAATCACAATTAGACATCACTCACCAATCAGCTTCCTGCTCTTAGTCTGACGACATATCCGGATTCATAGGATCTTGTTTGTGAAACGGACACTTTCTCCGCAAAGTGCGATAATATTTTCAATTAAGAGGATCTAAATGATTCGGTGAGTTTCCAAACAACCCAAGCGAGGGTCCCGCAGATGATTGTGTCAGCAATGACTCGAATTAACAATGACGTCTACCCATTACTCACCAACATCAACAAGATCGATAGTTTCTCGCAAATTAGTTCAACGCCAGGTGAATCCATACGGTATCCCATTCATTCGGACTCGGTGGAATTTGAATTGGGCAAAAGGTATTTATTCCTTTTTCGGTCATAGGCAGTTTTTCATTCAATTAACAATTTAAGAAATTCATCATGTTTATTGCGTTTTGTAAACATCGCTTCAATAGTTAGGCAAACAGATCTAGCTTCCAAAACCTTATAAATAGTCGAAAACTCCGAACATATAATTCCCACTAAAGGGATAATGTTTGCAGTCATAAGAGCCTTTATAACAAGATTAAAAGCAGTGAGTTAAGTGCAGGGCGTGATATTTAAATTAGATAACTCCGAATTCGAATTCTAAATCCGCTAAGGTGGGACGTTTTTTTAAATGCACAGTGGACGGTGTCACCACATAGCATAGAGCTCAAGCATTTATCCCAACTTCTTTCATTATAGAATGCGGAAACTATTATTACGTAGAATGCATACTTAAATTAATGAGTACGTCTACGACTAAGAGCATCTTGTCCGTAGTGCCTGTGATTATTTTCATAATTGATTGAATATTTCCCAGTTGACTAAATAAAGATTGTACACTCCCAGTAATTCGGTTACCCTGAGAGAAAGGGCATATATTTTTAAATATATTATATGCATTTGCTTAATGAGTTTGCATAAAGATCTTCTCAACCTTTCCAACTTATCGAAAGCAACAGGTTGGTAAAAAATATGAAAGATCCGCCCGAATGGATTGTTATTTTTCAAGTGCATGCAATTTTCTCTGTATCAAAGTCAGCGACTTTAAACCTAAATGCCGATCAAAAACTGTTATGATGATGGCGTTGAACTACTGATACGAGCATGATTTTTCAAAATTTCGTAAACTTGTCAAATTTCATAGTTAATTTCGTCTAATCTGTAGGAACGCTGTTTTCACGTTGCTATTTGAAATGTGCTAGTCACAGAGTTGTAAACGAAATTGTTTCCTTTTAGACCACTACATGGATACCAGTTGAGCATGAATGACCTTCGTGACGCGACTTCTGCCTCCAAGAAGACGGCTGGATGTTTGTTTACAAACTTTGAGGACGTTCGTGTAAGTCTTACGGTTACAGAGTGCTGTAACTTTTTGTACCATAATTAGACTCGCAAGCACTTGAAAAACTCCACAATAATCCATAATTTAAGCAAGCACTCTATTCAACACTCGTTATCCTTGAATACCTACGGTTTTTGATAGTGCCGACTCTCCAGGCTTCCTTCTTCGAGACGGAAAAAACAACAAAACTGACTATGTATTTACGTCTATCAGATAGCGAAAAATCAATGATACGTAAGTACGCAGGAACTTGCAGCGTTCAGATAAAATGAACTTAAAAGCCCTGGTTTTTATTCGCCATGCTGATGCTTTCTAAAATGCGTGCATTAAAGCAGGTGGGAGACAACAAAGACTGCTTTTGCTGCTTGTGGTAAATATTATCAAAACCGTTTGGTTGCCGCGACAGTGAGGGGTTCTGGATGTCTCAAAACAACTGACTTTGAAATGCAGTGCAATGCAAAGGCAAACTAATATGACGTTTCAAGTTCCAATTTCCAAGTAAATGATGTCAGTAAGCGTTCTAATTGTGCAGTGGGTTTAGGGCAGCCCATAACTACTTGCAAATTAAAATGATGCCTATTTTTCGGCTGCGGCAGGCGAAAGACAGAGGTCTGTCGCGCAATCCAAGTGGATTTGTTACAGTTGTGCGGTAGAAAGTTTTATAATTTTCTGCCGAAAAAACTTGAGTCTTCTTTAAGTTTAATAGAAACAATGCAGAGAAGATCAGAAGGATCCTTCTGGAAATTTATAACCGAGGATATAGCAGAGAAGCAGCAAAATATAACAAAAGTCAAGAGTGAAAATGCAACAGGTGACAGGAACTTAATTTTTACGAAAAAATGGACTCGCGTGGCTTCGCAGTGAACTGCAAGGGGGCAGGGTTGGGAAGGTAAGGGCTGGGTTTAATGCTGGAAAATGGGACATTGGTAATTTTCTCTAAATTTAAATTTTTACAATTTTTTCTGCAATAGTGGGCTATAGAGCAAGGTCTGCAGCGCAAAACAAAGCAACTTGCCCACTACTAGCTGCAGCACTTGTGAAAATTTAATTTTCGCTCATTTTCTACCGATTTAGTCTGAGTTTTCATTATGATTGTCGAAAACAAATCGCTAAAATCTGTAAGTTAAATTTTATCGTTATTGGGCTTTGTGCCGAGGATATAGCAGATACAGTGAGCGATCGTACCCTAGAAATGTTGGCCGAAATTCTGAGATGCGTTTTCGACGATAAAACATTACTTTCGTGGGGTTGTAATACTGATTATTTAGCAGCATAATTTTGCAATGTTTCAGACTTACCAGGGTGTTGGTTTTTGAATGCATTTCTTTTCGGCTTCCTGAAGACAGCGCATTCGGCAAAAAAGCGACCACTCAAGTAGCAGGCACTTTTCAAACTTATTTTGGATTGTCTAAAAAATTTAAATATATTTAATAGAAAACATACGTAAAAATAAATTTCATTTACTCGTCTGGTAGAAAATTACGTCATCTTTGCATTTGGCACCCGATGACAGTGTATATTTCGGTTTTAAAAAGTCTTCAGTTGTGAGATTTTCTAATACCGTGAAATGCCCATTCGTAAAAAATCGTGCCTATCCGTCTACAAGTACTCCCATGAAGAGTTTAACATGATCCATATCCATTGCAAAATTCTGTGAGCTCTGCGTAGTATACTTTTAGAAACACAAGCCAATATATGGTTCGTCTTACGCGAAAACATGCGCCTTGTAAAACGAAATAACTAAACATAATGCAATGACTGGTCTGACTCAAAATTATTCGAAGATAGGAAAACGTTTTCAATACATAAATATACACTTTCGTTGGGCATGAAGTGTTGAGACAACGTAATTCTCTACGAATCAAGTAAAAAAAGCATTCTTTTGTGCATATTTTTAAGAAACATATTTTAATTTTTAAGACCATCAAAAATAGATGAGGGAAATGCATGCTATTTGAGTAGTCGTTTTTTTCCTTAGTTCGGTTTTTCAGAAGGCCTACAAGAAATGCATTCAAAATATGATAGGATTATGTTGCAAAATAATCAGTATTGCAATCCCATCTAAGAAAGCATGCCTAGTCAAAATGCATTTGAGAATATTGGCTAATATTTCCTGAGATCGGTCACTCGTGGTAGGATTGCAAAATACAACCACTGTCATGGGTGACAACATTAAAAACCACAGGCAACCTTTCAGTCAGTTTTAGATGATTAGGGTTAGGGTTAGTCTCCGAGTTTGGAGGGTCAGTGTTGGACGTAAAATTGTGACAGAAGAAAAGCTATCCCCTGGAAATTAACCCAAAACCCCTGCAGTAAGGTGGCCTTTATCCCTGTGTCCAGTTCCATTGCGTTTTCGCGACGCGCCTGATGACAGCGCTGAGTCCTTCGAGCACCAACTAACGCTTCCACGGTAGTGGATTAACAACAAAATGGGTGGTCCACGACATTCCAAAATGTTCTGTTATAGAATAAGAACGCTGTTATAAGTGCCTGCTTGACGGGCGCTTAGTTCATATAAGTGGAAAACAGTGCAAATCCTGGGAAATATCACTGTTAGCAATATGTGCAAAAAATGAACACTCTTCACGATGCTGCTAATTATTGTGTAAATGTTTGCCTTGCGTTGAGAACATTTTCCAATTTTCCTAAACTTTCGGATTCGTGCGGGGGTCCATTGTTAGGGATAAAAGCAACGACAGAACAAATAAGCATTCATGGAGGTATTAACCAATCAGCGATTTGATCCGCAGATCTAGAGTCGGTTTCGTCAGCCTCTGCATGTCGACAAAAGATTAATAAATCGATTGACTGAATTCTCCTCCTTGGCCCAGTCTTCAATCGATTCATAGCTTGACAAGAGCAATTATCCTGCCGGCTGTAATGTTGGAATCGAGACCCCTTTGGTCACTCTATTGCACGGCTAGCTGAAGTTCGTGTACTTGAGATCGCAGTATGTGATCCGCCCGGTATGCTTTCGTTTAGAGCGCAGTATTCTATAAGTAAATTATAAATAAGGGATCTTAGTATTGGTTTACAGAATCCATTTCGACGTTAAGTTTCCCGCGACTTTAAAATTCCGAAAGGAAGCTAGTATTTCCCTACAGTCATAGGTTGATTAAATAACGTTTGCCTGGTTTACGATTTGCTTAACATTATCCACACACTTTAAAAAAATTCTGACCTTAGCGACATACTAGTATACAAATATTTATCTTGCATGAATATGAATATCAACTCCTTCTGACGATTTACTCGAAAACATATTTGTGCGCATGGTTTGGAATGCAGGCGAAGCCCAGCGCTGTCTAGTTTAGCGTATTCAGGTAATTCAGGCCAGTAAGTTTTCGCCTTTATCTCCCACGAATCCGAAATTTAAATGCGCATTTAAAGCGTCCAAGTCGTGTCAAATACGAAATTTTGTCCGGTATTCAATTGCATCGGACATACCCGGAATCTCCGTACTGCGCTAATATTTCAAGGCACGCATTAGTTTGTGTGTGTCCGCGTTCAAAAAATAACCCAACTTTTCTACCCTAACTGACAGTACTTCTTAAATACCCAGTCAGAAATCTGATTAGTCTGCAAACACGCACATCTATGAAAGTATCCTAAAGTCCACGGACGTGAAAGGTTTACATGAAATATTTATTATAAATCGGGCCGTAGGTGGATAGAAGGCTTAACTGTCGGCGCGAACTCGCGACCTGTTAGTTAGAAGTCCACGCCTATAACCAATGGGCCACCATTGTATATTCGCGATCGAAACTGATAGGGCAACAGACTCGTGACCCCGAGGTTAGGGGCGTGGGCTTCTAACTAACAGGTCGCGAGCTCGAGGCTCGGATGTCCCACACTTCGGGGTTGGGCATGACTGACTAACGACGACTAATAAGCCAGAAATGACCCTTCCAGTCTCCCTTATCTTTGTTGGTAATAACATACTGCCTACATATCATGCGCCGCTGTACGGCTGTTGATTAGGCTCGGGCGAGAGTCCGCAAGGCACAACGGAACGAGTGAGTTGTGTAAGAACGAACGGTGAGCGACCCCTACCATTATATATATCCTCACTCCATATTCCGTGCTGAGGCATGGGCTGACCAAGGCAATTGACCACTCGTGGAGCGGGCAAGCCGGTGAGCCAGATGACCGAGCAGTCATCACGCCAGCATCCAAAACGGATGATGAGACTTCAGCAATTAACTACATGTATGCTGTCCATCAAGCAATTAGCGCACCAGCGGGCAACAATCCTTGATGAAGGGGAGCGCGGTTAATTGCTATAAGTATGCGGTAGCATAGCCACTGCATCCTATAAATACTGCAACTTCATGTGCACAAGCCACCCTTTTCTGCCACTGTCTCTGATGATGGGTTCAAGTGAGGATCCGAAACGTCAGACGAATAAAGTCCTTGTTTCAGCGATTGCTTTTTCTTCTAATCTTTATATATAGTCCACAGTCGATAAAAATAGGTATGGGGAGGAGTTCAGGTGCTAAGGATGGGGAAAAGGTGTCTGACAATGTGCTGTGTCTATGTTTTGTCGCTATAACGCGACATGTAAGGACGTGTCAACAAATGTGCTGGGTTTGTCTTTGGTCAGGGGAGCCTAAGCGCATCTCCGGCACTTTATAGGTAACAAGGAATGTTTGGTTCACTTTACCTTATGGGCGATGTCAACCAAGCGAGTCACAATAGCGCTAGAGATGAACATTTCCACACCCTGACTTGGCCAGGCAGGATGATGCTCTCGCATCCGCTCGGATAGGCGTCCAGCTGCTCGACCAATATAACCTGCCCCGCAGGGGCAACTGAAGGCTTATATGCACATTAAAGAGTTCTGAAAAGGCAGTCTATTCTTATCTTCAGGGTGAAGGAGCGAAGTGCTTGCGAAAACTAGTCTTACACGCGCACAATATTAGTGTGTAAGCGACGATGGGAAGTTCGCTCTTCGTTTCCCCTCGAAATGGCAGTATGTGAAATAACCCCTTCTTTTCAGTCGTAGTCACGTCAGAATTTGGAGGGCGTTCTTCCATCTGTTTGTTGACCAACTTTTCAAAAAAGTAATTTTCCCGCAGAGTGTACTATATAAATGTGAGTTTATCCACAAGCCCCTCAAGAATGCATATTCTCTCAGCTTGGTTGATGAGACAGCGAACCAAGCTTCGTTTCTGACTTAGCAGAACATAGCTGTAGAATTTTGTCTATTGTCCTGCCTATGTTTTCTTATGAAATTCATTTATGTGTAATACGCTTGACGTAACCATCCCAAATCTTTTTTCTTTGTCGGCACCTTTCAATCTGTTCAGAAAAGGTTTTTCTACTATCTGTCAAAACATTCGAAGTCACTTCAATTCAATTTCATACCGAACTTTGTGATGTTTTAAATTGCATAACCGCAGACAGACGAATTTTAGTCTTTTTTGTTTAAATTCAGCTTACCGACGAGGAAAGAGTATATCTAAACGCGGCGACGATTGGTGACATTGGGGTGATTCGCATGTCTCTGGAGGACGCCGACTCCAACAGTAATTTCAATGTCAACTGCGTGGACTACATGGGCAGAAATGCCCTTCATCTGGCTGTGGACTCGGAAAACGTGGAGGCCATTGAAATGCTGCTGGACAAACTGTCCTTTGAGTGCATCGAGGAAGCTCTGCTGCATGCCATCTCGAAGGGTCACGTGAAGATTGTTCGACACATAATCGAGCATCCCAACTACATGGCCTGCGAGGAACGCCTCAAACGCATCGACTCCCAGAACGCCTTCTTCCGAACCACAGAGAAGAGCCAGTTCTCGCCGGACATTACTCCGCTCATTCTGTCCGCCCACTACAATAACCACGAGATGGTACAGATGTTTCTCTCCAGAAACCACACCATTGAGAAGCCACATCCCATCTCCTGTCAGTGTGCCGACTGTCAGGCGAAGCAGGACTACGACTCCCTGAAGAGGTCCAGGTCACGCCTGAATGCGTATAGAGCTCTGGCTAGTCCCGCCTATATGGCGCTCAGTTCTCCCGACCCCATCATGGCCACATTTGAACTTCGGCAAGAGATGATGCGGCTGGCGGAGATTGAGAAGGAATTCAAGGTAAGCTCCGAAGCGTTATATTACTGAATCGAACATTATTTTAATAGGTCAAGTAAACGATAACCTGCGTTTATCTAAATTTATCCATCGTAGATTTGCTTTTCACGACGCTACTTTGGCAATGTTGATGGAATAAGCCATTAAAAGATGGCGGATCCTGTCTCCTGTATGTTTCATAGTCTGTCCCGTGACTCCGTGAATGACAGAATGCTACTTAGAACTAAACATATCACAAGTAGGAGGAAGTAAGAAATTTTCTACCACAAATAATTTCAGACACATAAAAATAGTGTTTTATTCTGATATGCATGTAATTCATTTCTGCATCCACTAACACACAGGAATGGCTGAAAGTGCTGTTTTACACACTTCTAAAGTATGGTACATCGGATATGGCCAATATTTTTCTCTTCTCCGTGTCGAAACCTGTGATAAGGTCCAAATATCGGTACAGATTTTTCTTGTTCAGAAAGGTTACAATCTTAATGATGAGTCAATGCTACTCGCGATGACTTGGCTGTGTACGGTATGCATTTTAAAGAAGCGAATTGTGTTATTTTGGTCAAGTGGCCGAATTCTAACTTAGGCATCCCATATTTTGATCACTATATATCTCGCTTCAATTTGATACCTCATAAATTCTAATTGTGGTCTCTGTTCGATTAAGATGCAGACATTGTTGCCGGCGGCAAGGTTTTCGCATCAACTGTCAAACTCAGTTAATGGAATGGAAAGTCAGGCTATTTCAGCAGCCGAATCTCGTGTTATGCGTTGTTAAAAGGCGACTTCATTATTCTGGAGAGTTCTAAGTAGGATAAGAGAAACTCCTGAATGGAACCTAACAAACACGTCTGTAATTCTCTGTAAGGACGGCAGACAATACTGAGTTGTCGGAAAATAAAAACTCATCAAATGTGTTGTTCTAGGTATACAAGCATCGGAAAATGCTCGAATGCAGATGATAACAAACTCTGTACGAGGTTGAACCTCGTAGGCCTGGTCGGTACATACTAATATCTGTCAGTATTATTCGCTGCGTAGATCAGACGAGCGGATGCTGGCGATGCAATTAACTATTTCCAGCAGTTTTGCTTCATTGACTGAGATAAGGTCCTCCTATTGGAGCCGTTTCGCAACAATTCGCACAAACGGCTATCTAAAAGGTTTTTGGACCAGAGCCAAACACAGTGGTCGCTAATTCCTGCAGGGCTGTATTTCCTGTATCAAAAACAGCATAGATGAGTATTTTGCAATATTTGTATATTATATCAGAGAACAGGTATCTTCCTAGCACTTGCTAGGCTGGTAAACTTTTCCGTCCGGAACCGACAGAATAACGGATCCTTGGTTCACTGGTAGAGAAATGAGCCCAGTAAACCGTTTAATGAACAAACAATTTGGGTTTAAATCCCAGGCTAGATATGGATGGCTGGCGACGGCCAGTAGACCAGAAATGATCATCTCAGTCTCCCTTTAAAGACCAAGCATTTTATCGCTGAGTCCACTGAAGTCTACTCAGCATCTGACGCAAACGAAAATATACTTTCCGCTAAAGATCTAAGTAGAAGGGGACGCCATGGTCGGGGCAAGGGTTTCATCCGCTGGTAGTTTCGGTCTCACGCTTGAACCCATCGTCAGAAAGGGCGTTATTTCGGGTTAGTTGATGCTTTAATTCAAAATGTCAAGCGGATTAACTTCACGCCCCGGCGACCGCGTGTGTTTCATTGTTCATTGAACTTATTTGCACCTTGCTGGCTTTGCCGATAGTAGCGAATAGGTAAGTGCCAGGAAGCGGTTCAGAAAACGAAGATGCGATCAGTGGGACGAGAAATTCACTAACCTGGCGTTCGGATTCTCACCCGAACCCATCGTCGGAGCAGTCGGTTATGTGGCCACCTGTAGTACGTGACCGATGGTAATAGGGTGTTTTTACCGGTGGGACCGGGGAACGCACAGGCGACGAGGTCAAGTAACTGTATGCAAAAGAAAAGCTATTGGGCATGCGCGGTTGTACTTTGAGTGACCGAGACATAGTTGCCCTTACCCCAACTTCAAACCCCAACAAGATTGTGACCATCGGGTGCGGCCACATAACCGTATCTTACCGAGCAGTCGACTCTCTCTGATGATGGGTTCAAGGGGGGAATCCGAAACGTCAGGCCAGTAAATTTCCAGTTCCAATGATCGCATCTTTTGTTGGTTTTACCGCCTAATGATCCTGTCATATTGTCCCCTGCACTGTATTCCCTAAAAAAGCTTTTGCATATTTTACACAGCGTCGGTTTCATTATTGTTAAACTGTGTGTTACGCCGGGGCTAACGGTAACATTGCCTAGCTTTGGCGTTACATTGTCTCTCCTAGAAAAGCAGTCGACTTAAAAAAGCCCTCGGAGCTCATCGCACCAGTAGTCATGAGTTATTTTTTGATTCACCAAGCATACTTTGCGGTTACATATGTGTGAAGTTGGTGCAGCAAGCTCGTAGCGGTTTACATGCGCTAATTGCGACTGCATAAGCAGAGGCTGCATAACACGACTTCCCTCGATCTGCCCGAGGCAATTTCTGGATGAGTTCATTAAAACATTTCGCAAATCACCCTCCGTAAGCTGTAAAATGACATGTTAGAGCGTCTTTATCAGCTATGTGACAACTGAAAGGTGAGTTTCGATCGGATATCAGATCAGTTGTGGATATAAAGCAGTAGTTTTAAAGTAACAAATTTGTGCTCCTCTTAGTTTTTTGCTAGAATCTCTGGTATCTCATACAGGTTTTGGTAGATTTTTAATTATAAACATTGGCTCAACTGTAAAGGACTCGGCGCATCGGTGGGATTCGAATTCACGACATCAAGGAAGAGGCTATGGTACAGCTAACTGTCTAGTCACATGAGCTACGAGGTCCTACCGGGAGACGTGAATTCAATCACATTAGTGTCAAGTTGCCCACCCAAACTACCGCAGCGAATACCAGGCCCCTAAGTAATCCACTTTCGGGAAACCTGTTTTGCACAGTCAGCTTACTCTGTTAGATTTGGTGGATTCAAGACGTTGCAGTAGGTTCGGCAGGTAACCTGACCCAAATGCGATTGAACTCACGTCTTCCGGTGGGGTCTCGTAGCACATGTTGCTAGAGCGTTGGCTGTGCTAAAGCCTTCCCCTTTCTGTCATGGGCTCGAATCCCATCGAGGGGATGCGTTTTTTACAGTTGGGTCAATATGAATCTCTGGTATCATTCACTAAGTAAGCTTCGCAATTAGTTGATTCCATCCTTTTCTGCAGCTCTGGTAGGTACGCTGACCCAAGTGTTAGTAAACTCATAGTTGTGGATCAGGTGGTCAGATCGTTGGCTATCCACTCAAGCCTTGATCTTTCTGTAGCTAGTCTGATTCCTGCCGAGGTCGCTACGTTTTTGCATATGATTTGATTTGATTTAGGTCTACAGATATGTCTTCTGGAAGATTAAAACTGAAGACTCATCCGACGCCCGTACAGCAACGAGCAAACAGTAGTCGCTTTTAGGATGCACCTAGTCGCAAATGACCGTGACTTAGAAGCTAAGGTCTAAACACACTGCTTGCAGAGTAAAACTCCATTTTTTCAAGCCGTCAGTCAGAGTATCGTTGACTGACGTCGCGAAGCATTAAATTATTCCATCTCTCACTGTGTTACGCTTACGGAACGAGTGAGTTCCGTAGGAACGATCGGTGAGCGCCTCCCTACCATCGTATATTCCCGATCTTAACCAACAGAACAACGGGCCCGTGGCCCAATGGTTAGAGGGTTGGGCTTTTAACTAACAGGTCGCGAGTTCAAGCCTCGGGTGTTCCATACTTCGGAGTTGGATATGACTGTCTGATGACGCTAATACGCCAGAAACGGTCATTCCAGTCTCCCTTGTCTTTGTCGGTAGTGTTATATTTGTCAGTATTAGACCACGTTAAACATGACAGGCCGGTTGACAAACTAAACGTCAAGTCCTTAAATCTTTATGCCTTGTATAGAATGCATAAAATGCTTTTTTTCATTTTATCATATTATTTTCTCAACATGGCAAAGCCCTTTAGACGGCGCTTGCATTACCGACCAGCTTCCTACTTACCCTCATGAACTGATTAATGCTCGCATTTGATATATTGCTCAGAACATGATTAACTGTGAGCACACCCATTTAAATTTGTGTAAAAAGAAATAGTGAACTCCGCGACGACTCGTTTAAGCCCAAGGTTCGTACAGTCGCCAGTAAGTGTGACGTTTTGGTCATGTTATCGAGGTTGTGGCATAATTTCCTAAATGAACGTTCATCATCACGTAAGCGCGTGCGAACGAGCAAGTTTCGACTACAAATTTGTCTGCCAGTGGGCAGATATTTCCTTTCCGGGGACTCCAGGCTGAGTTCAAGTGTTAAGATCGTGGATAACTGTGATTTATCGAGCATTTACTTCACACATAAGCGCATTCTATTCGATGATATGTCAATCGTTTGGCTCCTGGCTAGTGCCGCTGGAAATATTTACGTCAATAAATTTTGCGACAGTCAATCAGGAATTTTCTGTGACAGAAGAACAGGACTAGGGAGTGCAGACCCTTTGGAATATCCTTAGGAAATCCATACGACAGCTTCAGCGTACTGATATGGAATGTAAAATTTGATTTAAAATCTGATCTGATATAAAAGCATTTGAAGACACTGCAGCTTAACCTGAAAAATTCAGTATTAAAAAATGAACGAGCGACCTGATGACAGGAGATAACTAGGGTAAGGTGAGATTTGTTATATGATGCAGTCAGAGTATCTTGTTGTCCTATCAAATGTTAACCGAAATTCTGAAATAGATTTTCGATTAAAAAGGCTAACTCAGATGGAGTTGTAATATTCATAATCTTATAGTATTGCCCTATAATATTTCAGCAACGTCAGGATGCCGTCTTTCGGACGCATTTCGTTTGAACCGACTGCAAAAACCATACTTGGCACCAAATAAGTACTTAGTCAGTATGATTTTTTCCGATGAATTTTGACGCCTCAGAAATTATAGTGAGTTTTCATAGGGATGTGACATAAAATAGTCTCGGTTTTAGTCATTTGATGGGAAAGTGTGCTTTTGCAAATATATTTTTTAAGGTACGATTTATTTTACCTTAGAAATCTCGCAAGTTTGAGGATTTTTAAGACTGTGTAATCTAGCATCCTATCTGGGTGTTGATTAATGTTGCTTATAAATAGCATAGAATCGTCTTAATTAATAGCAAAATTCAATGACACAGAATACTCCATGGTCTGCCTTACACAGAAAGCGAACATCATGTAATTTAGATACTAAGTGCAAGCCGGGCTCAAAATTATTTCGGAGTTAAAAAGGACTTATGAAACCGAAATACGCCCTTTCGTCGAGTTTATAATTTAAAGCAGGACCTAATTTGCTACCAGATGAGTCACTTGTCTTAACGAATATACTTAAAACGGCAACGTTGTCAAAAATCAATAAAAAGGCATAAAGGCAGTAGATTTTACTGCAAAAAATATTTTACTCGGTAGAGCAGAAGATCTATAAAAAGGGCCCAGGCCTCAATTTGCCGAGCCCTAGTTGTGATAATTCATTTTTCATTGCGCATGAAAACACATAACAGCAGAGAGGTAGTATAATCTTTTATATCTTTAATCGAGCGTCTAAAAGCGAAATGCTGATGTCCTTTTTCAAAAAGAGAGCTTATCTTTCCACTCCGTCTTTTGTAATGCTGTCAGTACGCGGATTTCCGCACTGGCCAGACTGCTCTGATTAAATCAGTAAAAACGTTAGCGTTTTCGGCTGTAGCAGAACAAATTTTAAAAACGGACTTTCTACAATTTTTCCCCTACTAGGAGAGAATCGTTTGCATCCGATGCCGGCCACCTTGTTTACTAACCGCAGATTGCAATATATGCAGTTGGAAGGAAAGGTTTTCTACTGAGAGAAAACCTCTAAGGATTCAATCCCCGCCGGTCAAGGTTCGGCAGCCTGGACGATACTGATTTGCTGCATTTTTATTGTGTCAGCTCCAGCTGGAAGTGTATCGGGTTACAGCAGCTTGCGAGCATTTAGATATCTTGAAAGTCTGTCATCTTGTCGCTTCCTGATCTGCAAAAAAACAAGAAGAGACCTTTTGGGGGGGGCTGGAATAGTGGGGGGGTCGTGAGACGGGATGGAACAGGTGGATGGGAGCAACCAAGACCGCGCGCGTGACAGAAAAAAAACCTAAAAGGTAAAAAAAGAACGAGACAACGACAGCCCGCATATCAAAACGGACGCAGTCGACGCAGGAACGGAAACAGCGAAAACCGCACCAGCGCGACAGGTTCGAGCTACTCGCTCTTGTTTTGCATTAGAGGTGAAGTGTAAATGATGCAAGCGAATCTGTTGATGTCGAGGGACAGTGTTCAGTACCGAATCTTCGGTTCAGGTGCACCTGGTAACGGCCATCCGAGCTTCCGTCGTCATTTGCGAAAGTTTCCATCTGCATGTGTTACTACCTGCTGTGCGACTGTCTGCGTGGCTGTAGATCGAGGCCCGAAGCACAAGGGAACGGGTATTACTCGTAACATGCTCTGTAAGCGCCCTCTGTCATGAGCATATATAGTACAGTAGATGGACTAACTTATGAAATATCGGTCAAAATTTCGAAATGCGTTCTCGTTTCGAAATGATTTGGTGAAGTATGTATGTAAAAATAATCATAACATAACATAATTCTATAATGATCCAGTTACGTTAGGGTGCCTTTAATAGAAAGAACTTATTTCTGACTGCATGCAAGATCTATACTCTGCAAAAATGACTACTTAATTAGCATGGATTTTTTTCAATGATTTTCGATGATCGTAAAAGTTTAATTGCATTTTATGAACAAAATTGCACACAAACATTCATTCTTCTACCTATTAGGTAGAATATGGCGTCGTATAATTTTATGCTCGGTGCTTCTACTTATGAGAGTTTTTAATACCACGAAATGGCCGTTCATGAAATGTCAGGTCTTTGAATTTACCAATGTGGCTTTTAATGTTAAAAATATGGGTCAAATACACTGCTAAATTTTATGACCCCGATATAGTCTCCTCTTAATACCGTGGAGAAAGGTATGTTTTTCATTGACGGACAATATGCGGCTAGTAGTTCTTAAGCCCTAAATGCAAGCATACCAGCTGGTCAGCTTCAGAATTATACGGGAAATGGAAACGTTCTTTTAAAACTGAATTGAACTCTCCTTTGAGTATACAATTGGAAGAAGATGTGATTCTCTACCGAATAAGTAAAAAATGAAAATTCTTATGCCTGTTTTCCATGGAATATAATTAAATTTTTATAGGCAGAAAAAATAAATGGGAAAAGTGCATGCTACTAAAGTAGTCATTTTTTGCAGAATGTAGTTCTTACATGCAGATGAAAATAAGTTCTTTCGAAAGCCGGCATCCTGATGTAACTGAAGCATTATGGAATTATGCTAGACGATGATACGTTTTACAACCCTGCTTAATTAATCTTTTTGGAACGAGAACGCATTTCGAGATTTCGGTATATGCGGAGTTTTATTACCGAAAAAGACAAGGGAGACTGGAATGACCATTTCTGACTTATTAGCCGTCGGTAATAACATTCTGCCCATATCATGCGCCGCTGTGCAGCTGCTGTTTGAGCTCGAGATGCGGGACGAGTGAGTTCCGCAAGAACGTTCGGCGTGCGCCCCTCTACCATTATATATGTGTATATACTTATGAATTGGAAAACAGACATAACAAGAAATTTTATTAGAAAGATGGAGTTTTTTGGGAAACAACAAACTTTATTGTAAAAATTTTCGAGACTGTTTCTCCAACTCATCTTTGGACTATCCGTGGGCAAAAATAAGTAACTTGTAAACTGAGTCTGACAAAGGATTATGTGAATGGCTAAAGTCTGTGCCAATGCGTGTTAATTGCGATTTGTTCCTCCCCGGGATCGGCTGAGCCAGTCTGTATTTGGCCTTAACGATTTCGTATGTGGTATCTCGATTGATATGCCGGTTGATTTATGGCTCACCTAAGTGCATTGCTTCCAGACATTCGTGGCCTTTTCTTATCAGGCAGGCGCCAACACTGCGAGTGTTCTCCCATGCAAATTTGCACAGTGTCCAGTGTGTGCGTGGCCACCTGGGATTGATGGTCGCGTCCTTTCACCGCCAACTGGTGTTCATGAATACGGGTTGAGATAAAATCCCTAGTTTGGCTACAATAGACGGTTTAGCATCTAGAACATAGGATTTTGTAGACAACACATTTTCTTTCGAGGTAGCCAACCCTGTCCTTTGGATGTACAAGCTGTATGCCTAAGGTAGTTGTCGGTTGGTGTGCCACTTGTATCTGGCGTTTTTCGGTTGTCTTTCGATTAGCTCAGATACATTTTTTACGTATGGGAGATTTCGCCATTTAATTGGTGTATATATAAAATAGAAGCGAATATGCGCGTCCGTTGACATAGATGAGGAGAAAAGACGATCTCAGGGACCCCAATTTTATTTTTCTGTCGTTTGAAAAGCCTTCGAGCCTTCATCGCAAGAGATGGCTATGGGAAACGAAGCTCACAGAATTTATAGTTGGTGGCTGGCTCAGTTACGCCGTCAATGTGGCGGGAAGGAAGGGATAGGGAAAGCCTCCATAAGCATCTTGCCAGCGGATGAGGAGATGATATTTGAACTTTGATGGTCATAATTCGCATGCGCGCAGTGACCTTGACGGACGGGGATGAGAAGGAAGATGGCGGAGTGTTCTCAATCAACGTGGCTCTCGTGGGGGGCCGGCGCTGAGACGTTGGCAGTCGTCGTCCGTGCCCGCATTGACCTTAGCAGTCGCCCTAAGCTGCCAATCTTGCTCACGTTGCCATGACTGTCTGCTTTATCGTCCGCCGAATAAGTGGATTGCACGGCTGTAATCGCGACTGCGTTGGACCCGATTGGAAGTGCGGCTACGTGCGTGTCCTCTTTGGAGTCACTCATGTTTGGATCAATATTTAGCCTAGGTTCGCGTTTGCCTTTTCTTTCTCTGGGCTGCGTCCGAAGGCCGCACAACGGTTGCTGAAATTTATCTCCGTGTGCAAAGGCTCGACTGTTCCCCTGACTATGCGGTCATTTCCTCGATACAGAATTTTAGCGTTCTGGGAGCCGAAAGTGTTTTCAAAGTCAGCACAGTGCTCTGCCACCAGAGAGACCGGCAAACGACTACAGACACATAGGGGCGGTGACAATAGTGGGCCCATTGAAGACAGAAACATTTGGCTAGATCGCAGTTGGTAGCCCGGACCCGCATTACAAGTGGCTGGGAAGGGGGTTTGTTTACTGGGGTTATTTTGTGGGGCTTCATAGTCACATCTGACACATTTGGCTTCCGTTTTACGTTTGAGGTATCGGAGTAGGGTACCGGGTAATGGTTTCCGATTTTCCGGTTAGGGTTATGCATTTAGACTTAGGTTTTCGGCGTACAAATATGTTTCAGCATTACGATTAGGCTTCCCAGTTACGGCTATGTCTAAGGGCTACGGTAACGTTTACGATTTCGGCTAGGGTTGGGGTTGCCGTAAGGGTTAACGGTTAATGGTAACGGTTGAGGTTAGGATTAGGGTTAAGGTTGGGATTAGGGTTGAGGTCGCCGTTCGCTACCCATTCCGGGCTATGAGGCGCCACCGGAAACCCTATATACTGTAGTTGAAATTCACAAAAACATGCTTACATATGGTCTCGGGCAAATATCAATAGCACAGTTCTTGAATATAAATCAAGGTTGCGTTTTGCCAGCATCTGCAGACGTTCTTTTGATGCCATTTCTTAAAAACATGTGTCATCGGAAAAAATATTTTCCGGAATGTTCTTTGCTCCTATTACGTACTTCATCCACTACGTCTAGTAGATGTCGCTTCATGCTGCCTTGATGAAAACGTTTCACAAGCTAGAAATGGCCATTTCAGTCTCTTTTGTCCGTATCGGTAATGCTATGTGGCGTATATTACGTGCGACTGCTAGTTGGACTCGAGAAAGAGCACGTAGGTACAACTGGACTTGCGAGTTTCGTAGCTCGATCGATGAGCGTCCCTCTACGCAGGAATGATTGTTTATTTATTGGTATTGGCTCTTTGGGCAAACTGATTTGCTGTCTGGGTGTGCAGTCTGTTTTCTGGATCGCATCAATCACAAAAGATTTCGGGGTTCTTGCCGTCGCCTCTGAAATGTTGTTCACATAGGGAATTGAGAGCCAGAACTTCGGTTTATCTCCAATCAACCGCTCAAAATGAGACTTCATAAAGCATTTGCGTATAAAGGACTTCGGAATGCCGTTGCACAAATCGAACCCTGTCTCACCAATGTGTCCGCGGGGCTGAAAGTAACTTACACAAACAGCAACGACTAATCAGTCCGCCGACTGACGTGGCAAAGGCCAACAGGCACAATGACTTGGCTATAACAACGCTGGCCCCAAAGGGGACAAAGGTCATACGAGCCAGCCAGTCGTCAGTCTTGAGGAGGCCAAAGTCAGTCGGCGGCGAACTTCCTCGAATCTTCACGCAGTCGACATATATATATATGCAGTGCGATATTACCGAAATAGACAAGGAAGACTGAAATGGCCATTTCTGGCTTATAAGCCGTCGTCAGTCAGTCATACCCCACATCGAAGTGTGGAACACCGAGGCTATAATTCGCGACCTGTTAGCTAGAAGTCCACGCCTCTACCCACTGGACCACGAGCCCGTTGCCCTGTCGGTTTCGATCGGGAATATAAAATGGTAGGGAGCGTGCACCGATCGTTCTTAGGGGCGTGGACTTCTAACTAACAGGTCGCGAGTTCGAGCCTCGGGTGTTCCACACTTCGGAGTTGGGTATGACTGCCTGATGACGGCCAATAAGTCAGAAATGGCCAGTCCAGCACGCAGTCGACATATATGAGTATTTATATGCATTTAACAGCAGTAGAGGCAGGCTTCAAGCGTTCGTTAGCATCTTTCCACCCTAGTTTTTGTGCCAAAACTTTTCGCCTGCGTGCAGTGGCAGTAACTCCGTTTTTTGCTACAAACGCACGCATTCACTGGTTTTTAAGTCTTTCTCACATACAGTTGATGGGTTATCTCGTGAAGTTTTAACTAAAATTCAGAAATGCGTTTTTTTTATTAGATAGGACTGCTTATTTTATGTTTTAGTATCACTTTTTATGCAGCCTAATCCCGTGACGTTTCATTCACTTCGGGATGCCGGATTTTGAATGAGCCTCTTTTCGGCCACCTACATAAACATCCATAGTTAACCAATTGACCGCTCATAAATATGGGTTTTTCATGCATATTTTCGAGACCCTTGTAAATCTAAATATATTTTATGAGACAATATACACAAAAATACTCTTTTTGCACCCACTATATATATGGTTATGTGTTTTTCGAATTATTTACACGAGAAAAGTTTACCTTTCGGTTTTAATAGTTTTTTTTCAAAATTATTTTGAACCAGAATTGCCGCTGCATCTGCGTTTGAGATTTGAAAACTCCATGTTGTAAACTTTCCTTTGCGGGATACTCTACAATGGACGTCGACCATCTCGTATACTTGATAACCATCACAATTGAACCTATTTATGCGAAGCTGTGTGAAAAGACTTTCCATAGTCTCAAAAATTACACAGCTAGAGATTTATAAAAACCGACATATGCCTTTTTAGTCTAAAATTCGAGAAAGACATAATTATCTACAACGCGAGTATAAGGAAGGATATTTCTCTCTAAATTATATTTTAATCAATTCAACTATCGAGAATCCCTGGTAGAAGAATACCAAATAAGTCGTCATCTTTTAGCCAGCAGGGTTTTTGCATGTGACTGGAAAGAGGTTTATTCAAAAGACGGCATTTTGTTGTTCTGCATGGTAATTGATGTTATAACACCATCTAAACAATCCTTTCTAGTCCCAAAAATACATTTCCGGGTTTCGATTGGCATTTTATAAGACTACCAACTTTCTGCAGGCAGTGGCAAGACACTGGTCCGGACTTTTAATCAGCATCTATGACAAAATTACCACCATAAAAATCTTATGCCGCTGGTAGCACTGATCGTATTTAGTTTGGGCATAGTTGTTTCTTGGCAGAAGTAAGCCGTCTTCGACTCAAATGTTCCTTAAAATTTCAGGTTGACACCAAATGTCCTGTAAAGGCCATGTAGCACCAGATCTTGTCCTTGCTTATTCGGAAAATCATTAGCTTCAAGACAGGCCAACGAGTCCCTGGTTATAGCGTAAGACCTCTAGCCGACAACTCGTCGTGTCGGGCCTCAATGGTTTCGGGCTTTGGAATGGTTATGACTGACTAATGTAGGCTAATGACAGTTCGACCGTCGTTTCCGACGATGTCCACCGTATGCTTTACAGCAAGGTGGAAGCAGGGACGGTTATTTGCGCGCCAGTGAGTTTGTCGTGACAGTAGATTTGCGCGGAATCAACCGCACTCTCTCTTCCTCCCTAACATGGACCCAGTGTCAGGACAGAGCCAAGAAGACCAGAGGGCGGAGTTGGCTGGTGCGACCGGACCCGCACCCTGGCGTGTCACAACCCTGGTTCACAACGGATACTTGAGTAAGATTTTTCAACAACAACAACAACAACAGCAAAACCGCAACAGAGGTCAAAAGAACGCGGATGACTGGGCAGCCATGCCCACTACAGAAGGAGAGCAAGGGCGTTTATCGGCAGAGAACCAGGTGTCAGGTAACTGTCAGCACATACTAGGCTACGAGGACCGTGATCTGCTGATACAGGCATTGCACACGCTTTCAGGCCTTTTTAACGAATAAAGGCTAATACGCAATAAATTACCATTCCAGTATCGCTCGTATTTGTCGGTAGTATCCTTCGGCATATATTTTAAGGTGCATTAAAAAGACAAGTAAGACTAGTAGTGCGATTCCGAATTATTAGCCATCGTCAGGCAGCTACACTCACCTCAGCCTTACAGCACACTGGATTCAAACTCAGGATCTATTGGTCATTGAGTCAAGCCATATACCAATGAGCCTTGGGCCCACTATCCTGTCGGTTGCGATCGATAATAAAAGATATGCAGAAAGTGCGTCTTCCTGCCCCCTTTGGGCCGAAACTTAAACCCTCGCAGGTATTTGCACAGTAACTTATATATATATATATATCTATATATAATGTTAGGGGGCGCTCACCGATCGTTCATACGGAACTCACTCGTTCCGTTGTGCCTTATGGACTCTCTCTCGAGCCCAACCAGCAGCCGCACAGCGGCGCATGATATATAGGCAGAATGATATTACCGACAAAGACAAGGGAGACTGGAATGGCCATTTCTGGCTTATTAGCCGTCGTCAGCCAGCCATACCCAAGCCCGAAGTGTGGAACATCCGAGCCTCGAACTCGCGACCTGTTGGTTTAGAAGTCAACGCCTCTACTCGCCGGGCCACGAGCCCGTTGTGCTTTCGGTTGCGATCGGGAACTTACAATGATAGTGGCGCTCACCGGTCATTCTTACGAAACTCACTCGTTCCGTTGTGCCTTAAGGACTCTCTCTCTCTAGCCTAACCAGCAGCCGCACAGCGGCGCATGATATATAGGCAGAATAGTATTACCGACAAAGACAAGGGAGACTGGAATGGCCATTTCTGGCCAACTAGCCGTCGTCAGTCAGTCATACCCAACCCCGAAGTGTGGCACACCCGAGGCTCGAATTCGCGACCTTTTTGTTAGAAGTCCACGCCTATAACCACTGAGCTACGAGCCTGTTGCCCTTTCGGTTTTCGATCGGGAATATACAATGGTAGGGGGCGCTCACCGATCGTTCATACGAACTCACTCTTTCTGTTGTGCCTTATGGACTCTCTCTCGAGCCCAACCAGCAGCCGTTACTGGTTGGGCTCGAGAGAGAGTCTACAAGGCACAACGGAACGAGTGAGTTCCGTAAGAACGATCGGTGAGCGCCCCCTACCATTATATATGGAATATATATAGGACAAGATGTTGTTCAAAGTTTCCAACCTAAAACGTGGCTCCAATAAGTAGATGACACATTTGTCATCGTTAAGACCTGTGAAGTTGAGCGATTTCACCAGAACTTGAATGGCGCCTTCCCAGCCCTACAATTCACTAGTGAAGAAGCAAAAGGAGGCACTTTTCCGTTCCTAGACGTGAGCATACAAAGGCCTAGCAACAAGCGTTCATCGGAAACACTCTGACGCTGAGATCATCCTGAGCTATCAGAGTAACCAGCCAGCAGCCCATAAAAAGCTGTGTTCGGACCCTTTTCCATAGGGTCTATCGTTACTGTAGTAGCGCCGATTAGCTCAAGAAAGAACTGGCTTATTTGTATCTCTTTGTCCGACGTAACGGATACTCGGTGAGCTTTGTGAAAAATTTAGATATAATAAAACGGGAAGGCTCGTCGGAAAATCGAGGTATATATATATATATGGGCAAATGAAATGAAAAATTTTATTATAAGAGCAAAAACCTATTTTAATAACCATTTTTGGGAGTCTTCGAGACATTCGATTTGCAAAAATGACATGAGAAAATGACCGAGAAAACTTACTTCTCATTAGGCTTATCCTGTCGCAATTCAGAATACTCCGGAAGATTTCGGCTGTGGAATGAGTCACTGGTAGCTGCAAGCACATTAATTATCGTTAATTTCTGACAGCCGTTTTCTCAGTGTGCAGTTTGTCGCATAAACTTGTAAGAACGGTTATGATGAGATTTCCAAACATGGAAAACTTTCCTGTAACGCCTGTAAATTCTGGCCGACCGACAGAATTCTCTGCTCCGTGCATGTGAGACGGTATGCATATAGCTACTCATCATTCTTTCACCCCACATTAGTCGTAACGAAAAAAGGATAATTTCCCCTCAAAGGGCTGTTTAGTGCGAACAATCTAATTCTCCTGCATAAACTACCAAACCGTGCTAGATCGGAGGAAACCTCATAAAAGCTATGCTACTTCTGAAACCACAGTAATATCATCTGGTCGCGAGGCTTTCATACCGATCACATTGAGGGTTGTAGACTGGCTTAGCAACAGTTATGAACGAGTAGGTAAAACATGAAATTCGGAATTAACTGATATACAAGAAAACTGTAGGCTAATAACATTCAGTCCATGGCGTATTAGATGGCCTTTCAAAATAATTCGGAGGCTTTTTGGTGCGAGTGGACAGTATGCTTTTAAGACAAGTTTTCGGAATGTTTCAGAATAAATTACTTTTTGACCCTTTTTTAAAAAAGGTACTTGCAGACAAGTGCCTATGAATGGTGGTATAACTGTTACTGGTTCGAACACGCAAAACTAGTACAGTGGTATGTAATGATCGAGGGTTAAACAGTATTTGTAAATTATATAGTTTCGTAAATACTGCCTCATATCTCAGGCAACTTCCTATAAAATCTAACTGCGATATCTTGACATGGGAGAAGAACTAGTGTCTGAGTTAGGCGAAGCTAAAAACGTCGGTTTAGTTAAATTCAAGGGTATTACAATGACTTTAAACTATTTGACGATTTAAGAGAACAGTGACCTCAGTTCATCGCTTTGCGTTATTTCTGAACCCAGATCAGGTACCAGCCTAATACTTTATTAAGTTACAGTCTCGTGACTTATCGTCCTGCCTTTGATTCCTTCTTCTACAGCATTTTTGATAGACTTTAATCTGCGTATTCTCCCATATGGCTCATAGCGGAATAAAGTGCTAAATTAAGAACAGAAGCGCCGGCTTACCTTTATTCATGCGAGGTAGATTACGGATCCTTTGGTAAACTCATCCTCCGCCACTTCAGTATCATCAATTCCAAAAACATCTGCGCCTCTCTGTTAGGAAAATTTTCCTGTTAAAATTTAAATTCTTGTGACGGACTGAGAGATCATGTCGGCCATTGAGTATAGTCTTACCTCTGAATTCACACGGTAACTCGAGGCTAAGTGAAGTCTCCCCGTCATAGGACAGCTCACAATTGAGACAGCACTTCCCTCGAGACCGTGCTAGCCATCATAGACTTCATTCAAAAACTGCACAGAAAACTGATTTCAATGTGACTAATTGCAAACAAACCGCCTGTCCAACGTTTTAAGACTTGCGATATCCGGTTTATAAATGCACCCAAAACACAACCGAAGATTTAATTAGCCGCATACGTTTGAATCAGCCTCAAAGTTTGTGGAATGCGTTAGCCGATTTTTTTTGTTAAAAGCGCTTGCACCCCAGAGTCGCGACTCCCTTAAATAAGATTCTGTATTAGAAATCTACAAAAATATAAATACAACGAACTGGCACAAGACCACAACACTGTAAATATCTCTTTTGATATACTCTTGCCGCGTAAACGTAGCTCATTAGTATAGAAATAAAGGTAGGCTATTTAGTTTCTTTCACGTGGGCATTTTTGAGAATTTTCCGTAAGAGGAAGACGAAAGTCGGAACCAGTGGTAGTTTACATGACAGGAAGTTTATTGAGATCCCTTGTCTCGCGTAAATTCAAGGTCAGGCATCCAGCCAATCACATGCGGGTCTTACGCGGGAGTTACGGTACTAGGTGCTTTTGTGCGCAGAGAACCGGCTTGCGCAAGCATATTGCTGTCGCCCTCACATGGTACTAGTAGGCGTTGCCGTGGCGGCTTCCGGTAAGCCAGCTCACTCGTAGACTATCTTAAGAAATTCATCGCCATCCACACAGTCGCCAGTGTCCAACGAGTGAGCGCAGATTGGGTTGTTGGCGGTCATCGTTGCATGTCTTCGTAGTCGCGCCGACAGGCGCTGTCTTATCTTTTCAAGCAATCGCCAACCAGCTGGAGCAGACAGCCGAGGGATACACGCTCCCATTGGTTTTAATGTCAGCATTCTCGTTCGATTAGGAATCTGGCTGCATTTAGTTCCTGATAGGGACAGTTTGGTTACGGTGTTTTCACGTCGCCGGTATCGTTTGTCGCGTGTCGACCGTTACAACCCTGGTCACCCCGGATACTTTTATTCTCGAATCCGGCAAATGAGTCAGTCACACTGACGAAGGCGGACAAACATCAATAGCTGATGTCCTTTGTGGGAGTCCTGTTAGATAAATGGATAGACAAGTGAACTTCAAAAGCCACTGTTCCACTGATACTTCTCCACCAGAACCGAAATGAACCACTTTTGGATGGATTAAGAAACTCCGCGGCTGCTGATTGATAAGGCAGTATATGACCGGGTTTTGGCGTCCACATAGTCAACTGAAACGTCTTCTTTTTCACTTTATACAGAGAAATGAACTGGTCTTCTATCATAAAATAATATGTAGATCAACGAAGAGACATAAAAGACAACTGACGACAGTAATAGCCTCTAAGACGGCCATGCGATAGATGTGCTAGACCATCAGAACGGGCTAGACCGCAAACCGGCAGGATACGGCAGTCGAGTTGTCAAAAAATCAGTAACCTGTAGTGTGGCACACTGTAAAAGCGCATGACTTGTTGTCTGTGTTTACTTTCTGACAAACCCGCACATTCTTCAGGGACCGGGTCGTGTGTGTAGAGGGCGTAGACACTGCGCCGACACTGTTTCGGCATTGTCGGAGCCAGATGGGCGAGAGATGAGAGAGTGAGTAAGATGCTGTGCAAGTCTGACCGCTAGTGGCCGCTGAACTCAACTCACTAAAGCCATTCTATTGGCCAAGTGGCGGGCGTAATCGTTTGCGAGGGTCCAACTGCTGTGAGTGTTATGGCACAAGTGTCCAGCCCTCACGGGCGACAAAGTCCACCGCTGTCCCACGAGGTGACTGTGGGTGGTGAGTTCTGCGTAAATTTGTTTATAGTGAAGCCGCTTGCGTTCCATCTATGCCAAAACCTTCGAAAGTGAATTGGGGTCAGACAGCTGACAAGAGCAAGTAACCCGTCTACGCGTGCCACGCGCAACCTGACCCTCGAACACATGTAGGTTATGGTGTCACAGAGAGCAGCGCAGCAATAGGTTACTGCAGTTCGACTCTTGGTCATGAAAGAGACATGGTTAACGTGTTAGGTAACGCCTTCCCAAGCAAATGCAAGCGCCTAGTCGCTCCTGGCATGCATGTTTCATTTCATCTTCCCTGCCCAATTTACGACTGTGAAGACGGATTCAGAACGTTTTGATCTCAAATTGCAAGCCCCTAGCGGAATAGTTTATTAGATACTTCGCCTTAACTTGGTTTCCAAACAGAGCAGGCAATTACTATTACATTATTTATGCAGTTCACGCGTAGCGAGTTTGCGTTGACGAGGTTTGGCTGACTTTCCTGAAGATGAAATAAAGGACAAGATATTCCAAATTCCTTTAGCTGATCTTGACCGAACTTCGAGTATGTCCAACATTAATGCCCACTTAAGGTCCTCGAATGGAAATCTGTTCGGATGTTGTTCGTATAATCACATCTGATATCGGTAGAGTTTAGACTGTATGAATTATTGATCAAGAATCAATTCAGCCTGAGTTAGGCAGGAGAATAAATATCCCCGCTACTTCGGACGGCCTTAGCTAAATGTCAGGTAGAGAAAGAGTACGGATTGCTGTTAGGGCTAGGGAATAAGTGGCTTCTAGAATTCGTGCATTTACGCCCGTGTCCAACAAAATCTGTCTAAAGGATTAAAAAACAGAGAAGGTTGGTCAAACGGAAGGGTTGCTGACAGAAAATTAACCGTAGTGCTGACTATGAATACAGAGTTATCTAGCAACTTGAGAATTGTCAGTTATGCCGAGTCAATTCAGACTCCATTTTGACAAACAGGACTGAAATATGCCCAGTTTTTCAACGAACGAGCAGTACTATCAGTGTTTCCAATAGAAGTGCATAAAACGCGGCTTCACATAACCTAGCCGCGTTTTTAAACTCAAAACCGAAACCTATTTATGGTACTTCCTCATATAGCCTTATCATTCTATTCTGTGACGTAAAACTTTGATTTTGTCAAAAGCATACTCTAGGCGATATTTTTTTCATATTACTGTCCCATCTAGCAAGCGCTTACACTATATTTTACTAGTTTTTTGATACAATTCTACCGAAGAAACTATCCAAGGTTCAACCAGCATGAAGTCTATGCCCACTGAGAAATTTTAGAGCATAAACCATTTACAAGAACCAGAATTTAGGCAACGAAGCGCAAATTTGCGAAAGTTTGATCCGTCATAAAATTAGGTCATTTTAAGTCAGTTCGGTTTCATGGATGACTACTGTAGATTTTAGGCGGCAAACGCCTTGACTAAAATTAAGAGAATCGGGTTTTGTTGACGTGCGAAAGCTTGGGGGAGATGAACCAGAAAATTGCCGAGTTCGCTATACTAGTTGGAGCAAATTTTTCGAAGTCAAAGATGTTCTTTCCTTCAGTCGGTGTTCATGCACGAACTAATTATTTCAGGCAATTAATTTTTTTGAAAACGTTCCGTAAAAGTGTTTTTACATTGACTAAACAAAACAAAGTGGCGATATGAGCAGAAAGGTGAGTTTCAGGAAGCGGCTGAAAAGGGGCTGCGATCTTTGGAACGAGAACCTTCTTTGCTTGACGTTTCGGATTGATAATCGAAGCCATCATCAGAGACAACGACAAAAAAGGGGGAGGAACGCACGGAGATGCAGTATCTATAGGATGCAGTTGCCATGCCGCTGTATGTCTGTCATATTAGTTGGCTCCCTCATTCATCGCAGGTAGACGTAGTTGTTGCGAGGATGACTTACCCGTCTCCATTCGAGTGATCAATTGCCACAAGTTCGTCAACTGTGTTGATTGTGGATGTGATAATGGCTCAGATGACCAGGCATGCCGAAGTAGTGTAGAGGAGTGCTACAAACTCTCAGATTGCAGCTCATTCAACAGGATGGGACCCCTCATCAGCCGAAGATGAAATCATGAAGACCAGTTGGCGAGCATACGTTTGCTTCCGATAAATTCTCATCAGACCAGTACATTAATTTGCAAATGAGGTAGCAGTTAGAACATGTCAGTGCTAAGAGAAATCGATCAAATTTCGTTTTTAAACACGTGCGGTGTGTGGGGATATGGGGGATTGGGGTAAGAACAGTCACTGTCAGGGTCGGAGTGAGAGCGGAATTGCGCGAAGAGTTGCATGATTAGTCGTCTTTTGGCCACGGTAGGTGCGGTGTCTGAACGTGGTTCTTCTGCGCGCACGAGATCGGTTTTTGTAACCTGTTGCCGCTTTTGCTGTAGCTGAAAGGTGTTGGCCGAGTAGCTTACGGTAGCTCGATGGGGTCCACATTATGTCCTAACTCAAAAACATGCGCGAGAAGGGCGCTGTCTATGCTCCTAGTTTGGCCTTTTCCCAGCTAGCCCAGGAGGTGTTCTCGTATTCTCCTGAATAGACGCCGACTCGTACTACCAATATAACCTGCTCCACAGGAAAAGGTAAAGGAGTAGGTAAAACACTGATGTCGTTTGAGTTGGTAATCTTCCGCTCTTACCCCGTCCCTGGCATTGATTGTTATTATCTCCCCCCCCCTTCCCCCCAATATTTCCACACCGTGAACGTGTTCCAAGACGAAATTTAATCGATTTTAAATATCACTGACATGTCTTATCGTCTACACTGTCCGCGAACAAATGTGCTGGCCTAATGAAAATTTGTCGAAAACAAACGTATGCTGGTCAATTGGTCCTCTGAACGCAGCCGTGGGAAATTTCTTAACCCTGAGGCTTAAATTCCCATGAATGATAACAAGCGAGTGAGCTGATGCATGGCAACTGCATCCTGCAAGTACTGAATGCCATGTGAACCCAACACCCTTATCTATGACGGTCTCTGAGAGAGGATCCAAACCGTCAAGCGAGTAAGGACCGCATCCCCCTTCTACTACGGCAAAAGTGTCGCTTTTTTCTTCCCATCTGTTTCACAGATCTCAAATTAAGCTTCAGACTACTTCTTGATATGTGTTTGTCCGCCAGCGTCCAAATAATTTAGATGGAAACTTTTTGTATGAACGCAAAGCCAGAATAACTGACGTACATTAGATGGGCTTGCTCATGAAATGTCAACCGAAATTACGAAATTCATTACGATTTTGGAAAGATTAATTATTTGGCCTTGTTAAACTAACCAGCATGCAGCTTAATTCAATAAAATTTTAGCTACCTCAAGATGTCGACTATCGAACGAACTCCTTTCCGTTTGCATTCAAAAACCATACTCTGCGAAAAATAACTACATACGTAGCATGCAGTTTTCAGAATGACTTTCGACGCCCTTAAAATTCCATTATATTTCATGGAAACCATGCGTAAAATAATTATGCTCTTGCCCATTTGGTAGACGATTACGTCTTCCTTCATTATAATACTCGAAGGAAGGGTATAATTCGGTTTTTTAAAAGTTTCTAATTGTGAGATTTTTTAATATCGTAAAATGCTCACTCATAAAACGTCATGTCCCCGCATTTACCAACATGGATTCTAGAATTAACAATATGGCTAACATCCACTTCTGCATTTAATGAATCCCATATGATCACCTCTTAATACCGTAGAGAAATGTAGGGTTTTCCGTAGGCAAAAAAAGTACGACATGTAGCTCGAATACCCTGAATGCAAGTGTAATGGCAGGTCGGGTTAAAAATTATTCGGGCATTAAAAAAGTTTTTAAAAACCCAATTATACCCCTCTTTCGAGTATAAAATTGGAAAAATACGTAATCATCTACTAAATGAGCAAGAGAATGAATATTTTACGTATACTTTTCATAAAATGTAATTGCATTTTTAGGGCATTGAAAATCAATCAAAAAGTCCTGCTACGTAAGTAGTAATTTTTTGCAGACTATAGGTTTTGCATACAGCCGTAAAGACGTTCGTTCGACAGCCGGCGTCTTGGGGTAGCTGAATTATTATAGAAGTGAAATGCATGCTGATAAGTTTAGCAACGCCACCTAACTAATAGTTTCAAAACGAAAATGAATTCTGTACTGTTGGTTGACATGTTATGAGTTAACTCACCTACTGTAGGCTTCAAACTATCTTTAGATATGATTTTACCCGCCAGCATCCAGAGAATTTAGATGTAAACTTTCATGTGTCGCAACAGGTCTTCTCTGATGTAACAACAGGTTTGTTGCTCCCTTTTCCCGATGAAATTAGCGCGAGTACCTGACGCTGGTTGAACAGTGTATGAATTTCGCCTGTGAAATGATGGATCTCTGTCGCGGAACCCAGGAGGTGGAGGCTGTTATCTCCGACTTTCTGGAGGACGGCGCAAACATACGCGATCCACTGAGAAGACTACGACTGGCAATTCGGTTTGAGGAAAAGAAGGCAAGTCCGTGGTGCCGTGATTTAAAGCACTTTTCGAGCATGCGAACGTCGTAGACAGACTTCCTAAGTGAACATCAAATTGTCCTGTGCAGTTGGCGGGACGTATGCGGCATCTTTCTTTTGTCTGGCAACTCACTGCCAAGCAAATAATGTTTGGGATTTCTTAACGCATAATTTGCAAACAATCATTTCAGGTCTGGTTGCAAAATTAAGGCAGGGGACTGTTGTTTTTACAAGGATCTGCCCAATATTTACAGTGTGTATACGGGGTAAAGTAAGAAAGGAAGAAGACTGTCGCACCTGGAGTCGAGCCGTCCCTCATTATTTTTCACATCAGCTGGAAAAGAGGTGTGTCTCCCCTGATCGCCCTGGCATGCCAGGCTTAGTCTGATTAGAAAATAAAATCATCTATCATGTCGACATTTTTGTCTAGTCCGCACTCAAAAGACCGCCCTTTTCTTGGTCGCCTCTGCTGTAGCGTGCTAGCGCGCGGGACACAGCAATCTTCTGTGGTTTCCGCAGGGTGACGGAAGCTGTGATCACCGCCTGGGGGGGGGAAGTTAATGACGTAGAAAGTCCCAGAACTGTGACTGGCGCCTAGGGGCAGATCGTAATTAAAGACCTCGATGGGCCTACTCATCAGCCTACATGGGGTTGGTTCAAGAACACTCCATCTGTCTCCATAAACTGCCTCAATTAGCGCCCTGTAAACTCGCTCTCACAGTGTTCAGTCTTCTGGGTGCTCACAATTTATGGCTGGCGGCCAACACACCGTCTTTCTAGCTGAGCCCTCATCACGACATCAGTTCTGAGTAAGTCCACGTCATTTCTTGGACTTAACGGAGAATTCTGCTTCCGCTAGAAAAACAAACATCTGAAAGTGCTGGGTAAGCTAAGCAAAACCTGGAGATTCCTCAACATCCGAATTTTACGATACAAAGGTAGGTTTGTCAAAGGCTGAAGAGGACTTGCAACAACTTTTTCGCGGGATAAATTTTGAATTTATTTTCGACCCTGAGTAATGGTCGGTCACCGGACTTAATATAGTTAGCTCTTCTGATTATAATCCTTGTGGTTTTGGGCGATTTTGCCTTCAGTATCAAAACATGTTAATATGCACAGCTGGGACGACGTTTGGAGGCAGGTAAGCATCACAA